GGCAACCAAGCGGCAACTGAGCGGTAGAAAGGTTTGAGCATGTCTGAGCACTCAATTCAAGACATCAAGACATCCATCAATCTGGAATATATCTGTGGAATAAAGGGAAATTGGTGTATGCGTGGGTGCTTCATGGTGCTTCATCGTTTCCGCATAGTCCTTTCAACATCTTTCAACTTGGTTTGTTTTCTGCTTGAGGAAAGTTCTAAGGATTCCGCCTGTCGCCTCGCCAGAAAACCTTCAGCTTCTGCCTGTTTGGGCTTAGTTGTCATCTCGCCCTGAAAGAGGTGGACAGATGCCATCTGCTTTCTGGGGCCAGGCCTGCCAGGAGCAGATTTTTGAGCCGTCTCCGAAGGTTGAATAGGCTGAGGCCCTTGCGGCAGATCCTTTGCTCCTGAAGTCGCAACCTCCAGCTGAAATCAATGGGACATCAAAGCACCCTGATTGCGACAGAGGGGTCTATCTTCTAGTTATTCCATGTTGTTATCTTTACTTCAGCTTGGCAGATTCAAGAACCACCATGCCTTCTCCAAGATTTTCGCAGCCATGAACTCGAAGCTGGTCCATGAGCTCTGCACCTGTGGAGGAATGGATGCCTCAAACGCAGCCCATCAAGCGCCAAGCCCGGCCCAGCTCTGCCTCCTGAGAAAGCTGCTGCATGACGCGTTGCTTCGTGAGGTCCCTGACCTTCACGGTGTTGGTCAATTGAGTTTCTTTTTCAACACCAGGTCTGTAGATTGAATTGAACTGATGTCCTCGGAAGGAATAAAAAACGTACATGTGTGTGTGTGTCAACCTACAAAACAATACAAAACAGTGCTAGCAAAGCTAGCTGTGCTCTCGTTTCCTTGTTATTTGGTTTCCACTCTGTTGAGGCACCTTGAAGCGAAGATGGTCTGAGACCACTGGCATTGAAGCGTTTTTCTGTGCCTAAATCGTGCAGTTTCAACAGTTTTCTCTGACTCCTGAGGACTCCTGCACACTTAGGTTGCGGGATGGGAGCCTCGAACCCAGTCACCAGAGCTCTACGGCTGAGTTCCAAACGTATTTGGAAAAGCCCAACTCGTCTGGTTCGAAGGGAGAGCCCTCGCAGGAGCAAAGGAAGTGACACTTGTGATGAAAGATGACGAAGGCGTGTTTCAGGCTGTGTACTTGCAAGAACAAACAAGCCATACAAAAATTTACAAAATGTATCAAAATGTTGTAGCGATTCCAAGGAAATCCGTTGCCTCTGCTCGAAAACGAGTTTCGTGGTAGTCTTCCTTGACCTCGAATATTCAGACAAAGCACAATGTACCATTACATGTTCGCAATATGTCTGCCAATTGGCTACATTAAAAGAAACAAGAAATCAGTCCGCAAATTGGTCGTGATTTGCCAGGATTTGAACCAAAGGGAGAAGAGAAATTTCAGGCCTTGAATTTTTGATGGGTCTCACTTTGACTACTTCCCCTGCCTGCCAGCGTGTGGCACTGCCTCTGATGGCTGCTCCAATCTTTCCTGCAGCTGCCTGGCAAAAAAGATCACATGATCTTCTCATGCTCAAACCAATTCCACCATCTTCAACGGGCAACACTGTCCTCCTGCTCTGCAGTGTAGACTTTGTCGGGAAGACCTGCAGAGGTTCAAGTTGCCTGTACCATCCTGTACCATCCTGTACCTATCTATCCTTTAGGGCTCCAGTATCATAACCGTCATAACCTCATCCGTCGCATCTGCTTAGGAACCCGGGACCTCTGGAGGAGCGAACAGGTAGAGATGCTGTCACAGTAGCCAGATCGTCCACCTCGGCAACCCCGTCTGGCTTTGGTTCATAGCTGCGGTCTGGTGTATTGTGTGTTTCAGGTGTCCAGGGAAGTCATTGATCTGGGTATCTTCACAACATTTCACAACTTTCAAGTTGTCAGAAAATGTCCATCTGATTCACGCAGGTAGTCAAGGTCGCAGAGAGACAGTCCAGCACACCATGGTCGGAGCGCAATAAGTAAACACGCAGAAGGCGCGTGTTGGGAAACCGGTGGAAACCTCCCATGATTGGCTGCTTCAGAACCCTGCACAATGGGCTTCTCTTCGCAAGGCCCAGTCGCCATCCAATCTTGATTGTCGACTAGAAGTGACAGTGAATAAACTGACAAATGACTCTGATTTCTTGGGCATCGGACTTTGGGAGCAGTGCCATTCTGCTCCATGGTACTGTCCTGAGAGTTTCCTTTCATTTTAAAAACAAAATGAATTTCGCACTTGCTGTTAACAAGTGTGAAAAAGTCTCCTCATCTGAGGCAAAGGCATCCTTAGCAGGTCCTGAGCCAGCATCTGGGTCTGCTTATACCCCCAAGGCATGATCTCTATCTTTTCCAAACGCCTTCCACTTGCTTCGGCGCCGAATCCTTGAGCTTTGACGACCTGTCCAATGTTGCAGTCGCAAAAAGGTCAACTGACCTTTTAACTGCTGCATGGCTGCGCCCTGGGCCTCCAGAACTTGCAGCCAGTCATCAGCGAGCAGAAAGACAAGCTCATTCTACATAGAGAAAGTTGAGAAAGGCCTTGGTGAGAATCTCAACATGTCTCAAAATGTTGCAACTCTCGAATCATATTTTTAATCATGCATCAAAGTGGCAGCATTGCATGTCGTGACTCTGCTTCTTGATGGACACAGAAGGAGCAACTCTGGCGTCTCACTGAGCTCCGCACGCTTCTGCCCATATTTGGTGCAGCTACACCAGATTACCCATTAGAAAATCTGTGGAGGAGGGTCATGTCGAAGTGACTACTGCAAACCGCAGACTTGGGATGGATGGATCACTCTCTCTTCAATTGTCTTTCTAAAATCATATTATCATCATTCTTAATCCGGAATCCGTGAACAATTGTGTTGAAAGCCAAGCTATTTGCGTGGGTTGAGAATTTGCTGAAGCTAACAGTGTCATATACAATACCGCTATACGTTCAAGAACGAAGCAAACGCTTGAGCAGCTGCAGCTGCAACCCTTCCAACCCTCTGACGAATTCTGGAAGAAGGGAATGAGCGTTCACATTCAGCCATTTCCATCTGGCGATTTGCCAAGGATTCAATGATCTTTCTTGAAAGCGCACTCAAGAGCTCAGGCTCTTTGATGTAGCGAGATACCATGTGGACCATGTCAGCTAAACAGGCTGATGGTCCATTGGTACCTAACTCCTCCAGATTCCTCGGACCACAGGATGGCACTGCGTTGCTTTTTGCAGCACGCCTTCAAGAGAGCCGGCACTTCACTAGCACACTAGCAGTGTTGTGAGGTTTCCCAACGGCTGAACCGCTACCCACTGCAAAAGGACAAAAAAAATATGAAGTCACCGCACGCGCTGGTCGATGTCTGAATCTCCCACTTAGGGTCAGCCTCCGGCAGCACCTGCAGCACCTGCAGCACCTCAGCCGCCTTGGGCTCAGCACCTATCTCTTCCTCCATCTGAGCATGATGAGCTTCACACTCCTCTTGGCTTACCACCTTGATCACCTTGTAGGCCCACCCAAACGGACCACCAGACGAACCCTCTGACAGCGCCCAGGGCCAGGAAGATCACCACACCAGCAGCGACACAAATGCTTGGGACAGCTACAAACATCACCAGGATGTAGATCAGGGGCACAAGGCGCCAGTAAGAAGCATAGAAAGCAAGGGTGCAAACAGCTTTGATGACCACCGAGCGCATCAGTGGCACCGGGAACCAGATCAGAATGCCGATGATGTTGAACAGCAAATGACAGAAGGCAATTTGGACGCTGTTCGCCTTCATAACAGCCAAGGCCGCAAACATGAAGGTAAAAGTTGTACCGATATTTGGTCGTTCATATTGGTTCCTTTCATGATCACTTTCTTGAGGCTGTGCATCAGCTTCACCATAACAGGGCTCCACACAGACCAAGCAGTGACAGTAGTAACAGTCCAATGATGCCGCTACGTTTTCAGAAAGCCACCTTTGATCGTTCTTCCCGTCTCGATGTTTTCTGTGTATTCCGTGGAGTTGGTATAGCAGTTCATCTCTGACCAGAAACGCTCCCAGTGCAAGCAGTCGAGGTTTCGTAAGCCTCTTTTGCATTCTGCAACCTTCTTCCAGGCTTTACTCACATCGGAATTCACACAATATTTGGTGCAGTCAGTGCCACAGCTCAGGGCCTCAAAGCGCGCCGAAAGACGATGCCTTGATTTCCAAGACCAGCTTGGTGAATGGGCTCACAATCTCTTTGGGAGAGGGAAACCTTAAGTCAGATTCTCCACCTCCCATGGCAGCCTCTTTGACCCCTTGAGATGAAGTAAACCGGCCTCCTTCCTCTGTCGTGGCAGTGATGATAATTTCGATAGGCAACAGAGTCACCACCGTGAACTGTAACTACACTGTAGCACCAGGGAAGGCCCGTTGCAATTCCAGGCGATCCCCTGGGTGTGCCATAGAAACGATGGTGTTCGTCACGGAGGTACCAATGTTGGCGCCCATGATGGGATGGCGTTGCGAACTGACAGGACATCAGCTCCCGCCAACCACGATGCTGGTACTGGAGGAGGACTGTACCAAGACCGTTGCCAAAATGCCAACACCCAGGATCTTCAAACCAATCGGCTACCAGCTCCGCATTGCACATGTGAGGGCTCATGAGCGATGCTGAGCTGGTAGCGGATTGGTTTGAATGGTGGAAAGGTCATCACAAAGACTGCGAACTCCCCGTTTCTCTGCTCCTTTGCTTCAGCCATTGTGATCAAGCGGAAAATCTGCAACGAAGTCAAGTTTGAGCCAAATGTTAAATGTGTAGATTAAGGATAAATCGCACGCTGCCTCCAGAGTGACCCGCATGCAACATGGATATGGCAAGCAGGCAGACAGACATGAAAAACATCTACAGGCCTGGGCTCTCTCGGCTTCCTCGGAAAATGCTGTGCTCCTAGCAGATCCTGACCCTTCTTTTTACAAGCAAGGATTGAAATATATTGAAATCATGCTGCATCATGCTTCCTTCCGGTTCTTGGTCAGCTGCATGTACCATCACTTAGCCCACTTCCATTGGGAGTAACCAAGCCTCGGTACTCTCATCTTGGCACCTTGTCTCCTTTGACCAGGCACATTGACTTTTCTCTGATTGTCTTTGCTCCGGTCTGTGGTTTAAGGCGGAAACCGCCCGAAGCTTTGTCCGGATGTGGAACCCCACCTGCATCCACTTCGGCTAGTGGATCCACTGCGCGTTTGTGGTCGTAAACGTTGAGCAGCCCCAAAACAGATCTCTTTGGAAGGAGAAATTCAAAAACATTGGAGTTTCAAATTTAAGACAAGCACCATCTTCCAAAGTTCAGAGCAGGAATTAGAGACTGAATAATTCCACAGTGAATCAAGGCAAACATTGAATCCCTATCTGCTTTCTTGTGACACTATCAGGAATGTGCTTGTGACTGATGAAAACCGAAGGCTGCCCGGCTGCCCCACACACAGCGCAACGCCTCTGGAACGGCTGGTGCTTCTCGCTCGTCTGCCACTCCTGGAAACCGAGGACCCCCAGAGGGACCAAATTGCAGAGCTGAGGACACTGAGGACACGACTCTCGATTTTTCGAATCAGACCTCAGTGAACTGTCACATGACGTTGGGGATCGCCATCTTGTCCTTTAAAGGTCATAAGGTCACTATCAAGATCTGTCAAGAATGTCCTGACCTAGAACTGAATCCATATCTGCACACCATTCGGAGCAAAAGAAACACGAAAAGCATCGAAAAGCAATAAAATCGATGACCAAGCAGATGGCTTTGTATCCCTGTGGGCCTGCAGCAAATTGTTATCATCTCAGAATCATCTCTGCAGTCTTTGCAATCGTTCAGTCTGGAGTTTCTTAAAAGCAAAAAAGAACTGCGCTGGCAACGCATCCCTTTGCACCTGGGAAGCATGTGGAGTGGACTCCTGGAATTCAGAAGAACAATTCAGCTCACTGGAAAAAGCTGATACAAATGATTTTTCATGATTTTCCCATTAAAATGCCCATCTACCGCCATGTCTGATTACCAGAGGAACACAGAAAATGAGATGGTTAGGTCCTCCTCAGTATCCCAAAGGGGAGAGTAGGGTCCATCGCTGAGGCATGCCGCCAGCACGTGCTGAGCCAGGGGGTCAAACGCTCGAACTTGGGGCTTCACAAATTGCAACAAAAAGGGAGAACAAACCGGCGTTCGGATCCCCATCCTTGAAACGATGCAACATTGTGTAACATCATCAGAATTTATTGAGTTGTAATGAGTTGTATTGAGCCTTCCCTGTGTTTTTTCCATTTGTTTTATGATAGTTTGTATCACCCATGGTATGTGGATCTCGCAGCTCTGCTTGATGCTCTCTTCGGATCTGTTGGGACCATGACCTTGCCTCGCAGGCAACGTGCGTTGCAGCGCACCGTCGGAGGTTCCTGATCCACGGGCCGTACAGAAAGCACGCCAAAGGCTGCAGTGGATGCAAGATTCCTATGGATTTCTAAAGCATGTCAGGCTGAATGATGCTGAATGACTCTGAAAATGCAACTGAAACCTCCAAAAGCTTGCAGGCCTCAACTGGAAAGCATGTGGAGGAGGCATTAACCCCAGTATACACCTGAAGAGGAGCTTGGGAGATGCGGAGTAAATGCTCGTGTCAGTCAGAAACCAATAGAGCTTGATCGAGACAGATCACTTGTTTTGACCTTCACTCGAATTCGTCACGAATAACGTTTTTTGGGCAAACTGGTATGTGCCACAGAGTCAAAACAAAGTATCTATATATTGGGTATGGTTGACCCCACCATCATTAGGATTCCTTATATGTCTATATATATATATATGTATATATATATATATATGTACATGTATATATATATATACATACATATATACATATACATACATATATACATACATATATATATATATGTATATATATATAATATTATATAATGGATATCAATAATTATTAATGAATATTGATGGATCGGTTAAGCCATATGAAGACCTGCTGCTTCAATGGACAAGCCTGGGAAGCAGCTCCTTGGCTTCGTCTGAGTTTGAGATCTCGTGCTTTTCCACCTGCACGTAGCGGAGGTTTCCTAAAATATAGGTGCCCCAAACCATTGGATTTACCATACCCAATTTTGGATGATTTTGGTATATCCCCCGATATTGGAAACCTCTATTTGTGTCTTGTGATTCACAAATGATGATGTGGCAGGGTGATACAGTATGACGGTTTGGTATCTGTGCGATTGCGCTCAGTCCAAATGTCTCAACAATGCAAGCATCAATCCTACTGATACTGTCTGGTCAGGAAACAGGCTTGCTCTGGTGCTACGAGTCTTGTTCTCGTCTTCCCTATATACAGGTATGTGCCATTTGAGCACAGACTGTTTGGAAATCACTGATCAGAACGAACTCACGGGTTTGCAAAATCCTGAACGCAAGTCATCGCCAAGCATGGTGAACCTCTGCTTCCAGAATTGGCACCGTTGCTTCAAGGAGACCCGCAATGGGAAAGAGATGAACCTTTCAGAAGCCGAAGGCAAAAGAACTTCGTTTCAATGTGAAGACAAGCCATCAGGATTATATAACAAATCGCACCATGTCTGCACACCTCAACTGCTTCCTGCCATTGCCGATTCAGCTCTAGAGCATTGTCACCCTCCTCCACAAGTGACAGCAGTGTGTGACTGTGTGTCTTCAACATCATGTCAACAATTGTAAACATGTATCTACATCCAGAAGGTCCAATCCTCCGACCCCTTCGTGAAAGATCAGGCTTCGGATGGATGCAGACAGCTTGCGGCTTGCGCTATGGAGAACGCTCTCGAATAGAAACATGCACATCTAGCGGCCTTTAGCCATCTTTTGCCCATATTTATCATATTTGTATATGTTTGTACTACCCAAGAAATTGCATCAACAGCATCCCAAGCAGCAAATTATGCTCTGATGATCTCTGATGCTTGGCATAATTTGGATCATCCCAGAACAGAATCTGGATAATCTGTGGTAATCCAACCTGGCAATGAAGAAAAAACACGCTTTGCTATCTGCAAAAAGAATGGCAGATCATGTCTATGAAAAAATGTCCAGAGGCGGTAAATGAACATGGGATAAATTTACATAATATATGTATATGTATATGTATAATTCATAGTCTGGAATAAAAAAGCAAGATCAATTTGTGTATAGAGGTGCAAGGAGGCACGGGGACCATCGGGGACCGGGGAAGGCAGATGGATCCAGATGGATCCAGTTGGCCACAGACATGTTGGGAGACACGATGAGACACGAGAGGAAACAAGGGAAGATATGGGAAGATAATCTCATGAACTGGGTCTATTTCCATACAGCAATGTTTGGTGAAATGCGCGGATACTGACCATCATTGTCACTGTCCTGAGCCACATCAGCAGTCTGGACCTGTGGTACCTCAGCAGCAGAGCTCCAGGTTGGGATCTTCCACTGTGGTCTCCAATGTGTTCAGCTGAATCCAACCCTACGCAGCTTTATTTGTTATCCCCCTTTCACATGCAGCAAGACTGAAAAGACGACTGCGATCCACTCTCAGGCATCTGCGAACGAGACAAGATCTCGGAAAATGGCCTGCAAAACGCCGTGGCAAGCCGATCCAGTCATTGTTGCATGAATTGTCACGCCTGTCGGGTCATCAGGCCGTAAGCAAGATTCGTATTGCTCGAGTATCTGTACCTGGCATTTCGACAAAGCAGTTTTAGCAGTGGCAACATGTGGCAACTGCGTTCTGATTGCGTCGGCGTACTGGAGGGCATTGTCGAAGACCTTACAGAAACACGTCGAAATTACAACGAAAGCGCACCTCTCATTCCAAAATCCACCGATTGCGTAGCACTTCTGTCTTGCAGGCATCCTTCTGTGCTATCTGAGCCCAGGACTTCCAAAAGGAGGGGAAGATGGTTGGCAATGCCTTGCCTGACCATCCAAATGTGGAAACCAAGCAGCTTGTCACATTCTCGTCATGAGCCTTGTCATGCTCTAGATTCTCCTGGTTATCATTTCATACGAACAAAGGCCTGTTGCGCTTGAGCTGCACTGCTTTGGCACAGCGCTCAAATAGAGAAAACCTCGCCGCATCGCATCACTGGTAGAGATGTCCCGCAGACTTTTGGGTCAGCAGTGACATCTGCGGCTAAGCTCTCAGACAATCGAGATGATACTTCCATGCAAAGCCCGTCCGCGAAGGCAGAAACGTTGGCGACAGTCGCGAAGCTCATCTGTGGTCAGAACATTTCTGCAAAATCAAAGAGCCATAAACACAGAACGAATCAACATTGAGTATTAGAGGAGGGTTCCCTGGAAATCTGCCCAAATCTGCCCAATTTCATCGTGGAAACCCGCAGCACCCGCCATCGCACGGCACACTTCCTGCACATCCCTTGGACAGCACCCGGGACAGCAGAATCCCAATACCAAACCACAAAACAGAACCTACCACAGGAGCAAGCCGCACCCGCAATGCCCAAAGATCCTGAAACTGATGGCTCTGCTACTCTCGCCAAATCATAGAGAACTCGACTCAAAACCAGCAGAATCCAACAGATAAAAAGATGGAACTCGGCTCAGATATGGATCCAGTGTCGATATATCATCCCAGTGGCCAACAGAAATCATGGCACCAACCTGCACGATGCTGTCCTGCACTGTGCTCGCCTTCATGGGACTATGGGTCGACATTCAAGACCCAACCCAGGGGCCCAGGGGGTCGTTGCCATGCTTTTCATCATGGATTTCTGTGTTAAATTCTGTGTGCCTTATTTATGACATTTATGACCCAGCCCATACGCACATTGCGAATTGCAACATTTGTCGCCCATTTCAATGAAGCCTTGCTCTTGTTCAAGAACTCGCTGGCCTGACATGGAACTGAAAGTTCAAGTCTGTCTTGTGAAAATATGTTTAGTATATTTTAGTATCACACAGTATCAAAAGCGTGGGAAAGTTCTTGGAACAAGAAATAGTCGACTGCGAACTTGCATCAACTATCATCAATTACCATCAACTTGCCTGCGTCAATGCTGCCATTGCCACAAGGTCCGCCACTGATCCCTGGAAGCACAGCTGAAACGGCTGAAGGGTTGGCTTCGGCCGGAACTTGGGGCGCTTTGCCTCGAAGTCCGGAACACTTTCTGGCGCATTGCCCTCATAGTCCTCAAAGGTGATGGTAATGTCGAATGTGTTGAGATGTGTACGGTATACTAAATATGTTTAAATGGTTTTAAACATGAACTGCAAGAGTAAATTGCAAATCAAAGGGGAGACCATCACAGTCCTCTTCAAGTTCAGCGCAAACTTCCCGGTACCTCACTTCATAAAAAATAAGAGTCTTTCAACAAGACACAATAGAGCAACATGTTCAACAGTGCACGAGGTGAGATTCAGCAGAATTGCCGCCTGGAAGCAACAACAATTATACAACACAAGACAATCTCCTGTGAATTGAAGGAAATACGTTATGATAAGAATGGTAAGAGTCTTAAGAGCAAAAATTGAGCCTCAATCAGGCTCAAAGTTGTCTCACACACATGCTCCGGAGCCTGCCAGGTCGACCACGACAGCGACATGCGGCTACCATGGATTGCCATGGATGCACGCCATGCACGCCATGCACGCCTGGCTTGCTGCCAAGAGAACGCCCTCTATCAAGCCAATGATGTCTTCAGCCTCGGCGACTCGGCGATGGGCTGAAAGCATCGGCTAATGCCTCGGCTAGTGCCTGTTGTGCAACTGGGCAGTGCAATAACTTAAGGGCAGCACACAGGCACCTGGACAGTACATGACACAATCATAACCGTCAAAACCAGACGAAAAAAAAACATCAAATCAAGAAAAAAAACATCAAATCAAGATTGCCTGCCACGAACTTTGGACAGGCTGTCAAGTGGAAAACCTCACAGTTGGTCGAACACAACCATTTCAAGTCAAAGCGAGACAACAAAAGCATACAAGAGCATTGGGTCATCAATAGTAATTTGGATCTGGGTTGCCATGATTCGACACAACTTGGCCAGGAAACGACAATCAGAAGCTCCGGGAGGAATGGAGGTAGCCTGCAAGATTATCAATGTGCTACAAATACACTGCCTACATCCACTAGCAGTCACCGTGCGGGGAGAAGACTACAGAAACTGACAGTATGCATGCACGTCTTGATTGATCGGAGGGTACATCGTCCTCCAAAAATACCGGTCGTTTACCTGTTAACCCTTGGCGCTATCTGACAAAGTGACGCAAAAAAGTTGTGGTGCAAAGTGTTTTTCCCGAGAACACTTACACTGGACATCAATCAAAAAAATACGGATAGTCAGTCGCATCGCAAAAACATATCTGGCAAGCTCCTGAACCGTCGCGAACCCCTGGAATGTGCCCCTTCCATCCGTTCCATCCTACCAGGCAGCCTCATAGAGCTTGGCAAATAGCTTCCTTTCTCCTCAAGCAATGACTCTCCCCCTCTCCAATGCAGAGTACTCAAACGCGCAAGTGGGAGGATATCTTTTCACTTGGTACAATATCAAATGCATCGACACCCAACGCTGCTGTCCTTACTGACTGTACCAAGAAGTGTCACCACCCCATCCACCATGAATTCTACCTGTCATGGAAGGCGAAGCAGTTCACATCATGGGGCTCTGCCAGTTTCCACGGTGTTTTGCCGTTCCAGTTGTGCGCCTCTCTGGTTGAACTGATGTTGGCCAAGAGCTCTCGAAAGGCATGCTGCACAGGAGACCCTGGCGAGATTTGGCTCTTCACCCCTTTGACCACAACATGGTTATCAGTCTACCTAAACATAGTTCGGAGATGGCGGTCAACTATGACCAGTACCAGGAGCAATATTTCCAGCTAGCAGCTAGCAAAGGACTGCGGAATGGATCTGTACAATCAGGATGGGTGCTGAGAACTATGGACCTGACATCATCTCAATGTGTGGGTGTGTCTTTCAAAACAGGAGATGCATGACATATCTCAACCCATCAATGGGAATGTCAGCTAGGAAATGCCTGGATTCGATCAGTCATTCGACCGGCTAAACAGCCAGGTACAATCTGGCGCTTGGCGTATCAATTTTATAATGGTTCGAACGAACATGGAGTTGTTCAGCTGCAAATGTAAATGTACATGCATGTATTTGCATATAGTGTATATACAATATAACTAATTATATAGTATAGTTATATAATATAATTATATAATATAATTATAATATATAATTATATAATATAATTATATAATATAATTATATAATATAATTATATAATATAATTATATAATATAATTAATATAAGTATATAATATAGTTAATATAATTATATAATATAATATAATTAATATAATTATATGATATTATATAGTTTTGATTATATGATACTATATAGTTATAATTATATGATATTATATAAGTATATGATACAATAATATAGTATACAGTATAATATAATATAATATAATACCATACAATATAATATAATTATTAAATTTCACGAGCTCCTGGAATTTTGTGAGTTTTAGGGAATATTGGATATCAAGGTCAAGATGCAATATTTGGTGCAGTGTACGCGCACAAGGGTGGCACCAAAAAACTTAAGCGTCATGGTTTGCACGGGTTTGCACTGGATCAGCCTTCCATAAATGGAAGTGGTCCAATTAATCGTTCAGAAAAAATGAAACGGTCGGAAACGGTCGGAAACAGTCGGAAACGGTCGGAAACGGTCGGAAACATGATCAGGTCAAAACTTGTTCAACCCGCATTTTTTTTTTATTAAGCATTTCCGCGCAACGCCGTTTTTTTTGGAAGGTCCAAAGGTGTCCAAGGGGAAACGGTTGGAAACAGTCGGAGATCGCAGCTTCGCTCGGCAAAAAAGTAGTTGTTTTGTAGCATATGTTCATGAAACCCTTGTGCGCGTACACTGCACCAAATATTGCATCTTGACCTTGATATCCAATATTAATATTCCCTAAAAATCACAAAATCCCAGGAGCTCGTGAAATTTAATAAATATAATATAATAATAATAATAATATAATATATAGTATTAATATAATATAATATAATATAATATGATAATATAATAGAACATGGTATAATATAATGTAATATAATATAATATAATATAATATAATATAATAAATAAAATTGAATAGAATATAATATAATATAGTATATTATACTATATTATAATATATAATATAATATAGTATAGTATAATAGTGGTACAATATGTGTAAATATATAGTACTATAGTACATTATAGTAATACTGCTTGTTTTGTCCAACAAAATCTAAAAATGTGAGTTGCGCCAGTTCACAGACTTGGCGCCTTCGGCATCTTCCGGGATGGAGCCAATGGATTTCGAGCGAGTCGCCAGGAGCTCCTTGCAGTTCCGATGATCCATGTGGTGAACCCCGAAATTCACCAGTTTGGGGGAGACCTCAACCCAAAATTCATATCAATTGATACAAATTGCCCAACATTGGGGGTTCCAAAACCTCGAAGTTGTTGATAGTTGATATAGTTGGGTCTTTTCAAGTCCTGCGGCCGCTTGATGATCAGGCTCGAGGAGATGGATAAATCACCTGGACCCAGCGGCATGGAAGACCCAGTGACTGTCACTGATAAAAAACAGCGTCTGTGCCTTGAGAATTAGTGGCATCACGGACGTCTTGCAGCAGCAATCCAACGGCCTTGAAGCTTGCAGGGTCACATGATAAGGAGTTCCATGTTTGAATTCTTGTCAAGTGAGAACTTCTTGAATCTTGACTTGTTTCCTATATCACATGTTATCATATTATTATATATTATTTATATTCATACTTTTATATACTTTTGCTCTTGCTAGTCTTGATGGAGGATCAAGATTGAAGCTGCAAGTAGCTGTCCTGGAGGCAAACATGAGCGAAGGCTTCTTGCTTTGCTCCAGCGAAGTAGCCACCGTAGGGCACTCCAAAACCGTGAGGATCGTAACCTCAAAAGACCAGGGGGTCGTTTGAGCTGTTTGAGGTCCGCACGCTGTGCTTGGATATCGCTCTCAGATGGCGACCTAACGCCACAGACAACAAAGAAAAGAACAATTCGCCTCTGAAAGGCACCGTCCTGCCACGAAAAGACAACCTGTTGGGTCACCATTTGCATCCATTTGCAGGGACAAGTGGCAGCCCAACATGTGAAAGAATCGGTTTCACACCAACAAACGATAACAAACCTGGTTTGATCGTATTAGATTGTATCTTGTACGTACTGTATATGTTAGATATATCCGTGTACTTCAGATGTATTCTGCACATCTCAATGTCTCCGCTGGCAGGTCCTGCATGGATTCGTCAGGTACGCCAGCGGTCTAGCATCCAGGATGACCAGCCTTTAGGGCTTCCAGGATTCCATGGCGGTGAACAACAGGAGGAACTCAACACACAAAGTCCACATACGTGACATCGATGACATCGACAACTGGAGCACCTGGAAAGTCTCGTGTCAATGCTCTCAGCATCCTCTTCAGTTGTGTCCTTGAAGGCCAGGGTTTTTCATCACCGAATATCACCGAATTCACAACTCAAAAGAGCTCAAAACCAACGCAAAGTCTGCGTGTTGCTGAATCTGCTGCCGTCTGGTCTCTACATTCCTACTGTGCTTCGTACTTCCATGTACTTCCTTTCTTTTATATCACTCTCACTTTCTATCTAACTCTACGTATTTTTCCACATCTCATAGCCGCACAAAGGCGGCACCTCGCCTGAAGCACCGGTGCCGTGGGAGCTCCACCAGAAAGAAATGTCACCAGCAACTGCAGTGCAACCATCCTGGCAGCGCATCTGGTTGGACTATGTTGAAGTATAAAGATCTAAAATCATTTAAAGTCATACCGAGTCATACCCAAAAAGCCCTCCCAAGTGTCCCAACCGGGTCCCAACCTGTTCTCTTGCAGGTCATTCTTTGGCTGACTAGATCCCTCTGGTCCAACTCCTTCTTGCCTCAGAGTATCGGTTTGACGGTGCCAGATTCCTACAGGATCCTACAGGATCCTACAGGATTAGATCTGGCCAAGTGATTGAGATGCCAAGGCGCCAAATCAAGGCTGGAACGATGCCTTTCTCTGCCTGTGGTGCATCCTTGTCCTGTCATTGAGTCATTTGCAGACGCTTCAGCTTCAAAAGCACACCACAAGCTATACCCGCCTCAGGCCCTTCCACTGCAAAGCCGTCTCGGAACCTCTTTTGCCATGCCACACTATCAAGAAATGAGACAGGTTCGCTGCATTCCACTGGTGTTTCTCAATGTCCAGCTCCGGCATTGACCAGCTTCAGACAGTGCCTCTTTTTACTGTCTCTCATGATAGTCTATGAAAGTTTGGGGGTTGGCGGTATGCCCCTGTGAGTCCATAGCACGACGCGTTACATGCTTGTCTCCTGTCGGCGGTCAGAACTGATCAGTTATGAGTGCATCGGAGTTGCAAGGCGCGCATGATCGCATCTGCGATCCTCTCACCAAGAGGTCTTTGCCCAGACTCAACCTCCAAAGATATGGCATCACTTATATCCATGACTGGCCTCTATGTCTGTCAGCCACAAAAGTAATGGGAAATTTTTATGTAAAAAAAAGGTGTTGCGGGAAGAGATCTGGGAAATAACTTGGGAAAAAAAAAGTCATGGGAAGAGATCTGGGAAATAACTTGGGAAATAAATTAAGCTGGAAAAGAAAAAAGAAATCCAGAAGATCAGAAGATCTGGACAATGTTTTGGGTGACATGCTACATGATGCATGACTAAGACTAAGAAAAATGAAGTCCAACCCTGGGTTCCCAAACATCCTACTCAATTGACATTGGTCCTTGTGATACCTGTCCGCATGGAAAGATCTGGGGCGAAAATAATAGGACTTTCGGGCACCCCTGATTTTGGTAATGTCTTGAGCAATGATCACTGATCACTGATATTTAAACTGATTGACTCATTGTCCTGACCTGACCAGTAAACTCATGGGATCAGCTTGACACACCACAAGCACCTGAGCAGCCTGAGCCCAATCTTTTCCCACAATCTGCAGTTTGCTCTTGAAGACGCACAATTGGACGCACAATCACATGCGATGCGATGCAGTTTGGCCAAAGCCACTGCCAAACTCACTGCGCATTTCTGCTGCTGCATAAACCTGCCCATGTGGATGGACATGAAACCCAACCCCAAGAACTGCTACAAACCTCTGGCTACCCCACCGGAATTTCTGGACAGCACAAATCTCACCAGAGGTTTTGCTAGTCAGTGATATCATATCAGTGGGATCAGTGGTATCATTGATTGATATCATCCAAGTCAGGCTAGGCAATGGTGAATTGTAACATAAAACATAATGTAATATAGTAATATATAAATACTGACATATATATAACATATTATACTGTCATACTTTCAATACTAGCACAAGGATTGGGATTCCACCAGTCTCCACCGGAAGCCTCCTAACTCCTGACCAAAGATTGGTGCTTTTTCCAACCGCCTCTAATGTCCAATACTAAGTGCAGAGGGCCGCATGCTTAGACAGGCTCACTGGACTGGCCCAGCGTGATAAGAAATCATATGAGAAATGAGAACCATTGACATTGAATCAAATCAAATCACATCAGAATCATGAATCATAATCATCTAGTCTATACACGAGACATCAGATATCGAATTTGCAAGATCTGTCCGGCTAGTCCGCTATTTAAGGCCGGTTGAGGTTAGGGACAAGATATATAAAGTAAGTTATTTTTAAGTATCAGCATTATAGGATAGTAAAATTATAAGTAAGTTAAACTATAAGTACTGATACTTATGAGGACATGAACGGTGAATCGGAATTTGGAATTTGAATGAACATGCTGAATGTTGCAGGACTTGAGCTTAAACAGAATTTTGCACGCACCCAGTACCTAGCCTGTTTTGTTGCCTACTTCGGACGTTTGAAATCCAAACATCCAAAACTCCAAAACTAAGGGTTGGCCAAGCACCCCCTTGCTTGATCGCACGCGCAACTGGCTTTGACCTTGCTATCGCTTTACAAATTTGAAGTTAGAAGTTGCAGTCAAATCTGGTGGACTGAGACAATGACGAAGCCATAGCCATATCATAGCTGTGAAAATGATGTGAACCAAAACAGTTGTGCATTCCGGCTGTGATGGCCAATCCCAAAGGCTACCGTACTACCCCTTATTTATGCTAAAGGGGCTTCAGGGAAAAGAAGCACTCTCAGTCTGAGTCATCCCAGTCTTGTCAACTTTCGAAAACGGATCATCTCGATCGATCACCATCCCGGTAGGGGGTCGCCCTTGTGAAGGCTCTTCCGCCTGAAAGTGACAAAAGCTTCACAGTCTTAGGAACCAAAGCAACTCAGAACTCTGACTCACCTCAAAAATATGCACAGCTGTTGGCTCAGAACTCAGGATTCACACTGTAAATATTGTTGTGAAAGCGTGCACACTCAGTTCCCCAAACCAAGACACTTCCTCCATCCACAGGCCAAGGTAATTGAACCTTGGCTGGAACAATTGAAGGCAGGTCGTAGGTATATTAATTACCATATTTTCATATTAATATTAATATTTATTAATATTACTATTATGTCGTGAGTCGTAAGTTGTAAGTCGCAAGTCTGGAATAGTTAGAGCATGAATCAAGAATCAGAATCTAAAACTTGACTTGTCATCATCTTCATCGAATCATGAATCATGAATCATGAACTCCGTCTATCGTCTATCTCAAAAAAATGACCGGGTCATAATGTGGATTCTGTTTACTGATTTCAGTTTGATTTCTGGTTCCTGATTTCAGTTTCATGTTGGGATCATCGAAATTGAATCATGGATCGGGATCATGGGCGACGGACCGTTGGCATCATTGAGTCAGAGTCATGAATCATGGATCGACAATGCTGCAATGCTGCAATGCTAAAACTCTGGCTGCTGGCTCTGACGATAAAAATGAACAAGAGATACAGTAGAGGCATGCGTGCGGCATGCGGCATCGGCATGGCCTTTTACTGCTTGACACTCCCGTCAGTCTGCAGCAATCCAAAAGCAGGCAGCAGTCCCACCTAGGAACTTACACAGCTCACAGCGCCCAAAAGGCGTCAATGGGAACTGCAGGCCGGTTCATACAGGCACAGCCGTGTGCACATGGAAAATCATCCAAGGCCAAGACCTGGACCTGGCCAGGATCACTCCTCCGCGTCGCTGGCGGGGTCAGCCTTCTCAGCTTTCTTTCGCTTTCTCTTCTCTGCCTTGTCGGCCTTCTCGGCCTTCTCGGCCTTCTCCTTCTTGGACTCATCCTTCCCTTTTGTCTTTGCTTTCTTGGGATCCTTGGCTGGCTTGTCCTCCGCCAATGCTGATGACGGTGCGTTCCGCTTCCTTCCCGGGGTCTTTGGAGCAGGCTGCTTGTCCTTGGCATCTGCAGCATCATCGTGCGGCAACTTCAAAGAATCACCCAGCATCTTCTGAACCTTAAGTGGCAGCGTGTCCTTTCTGGTGCCAAAGGTCTTGTTGGCCATGTCAAGGGTTGCTTTTGCATCTTCAGCACTGCCGTTGTTGTACAAGACAGCCCCAACCAACAAGATTCCTCCAATGCGATCCGCTTCCTTGATGAAGCCAACCCCAGCCTTGTACATCCCCTTGGCTTTGGCCACGAGGTCCACCAATGCCTTTCCGCTGGAGATGTGAGCGCAAAAGGTTTCCAAAGAACCCATCACACCGCCCAGATTCTCCTTGGCAGCCATGAGCTGCTCCAAAGCTTCTTTGGTTTCGTCGTGTTTGTCTGTGAAAACGGATGCAACTGGAGTCATTTGCCACTTTTCCGCTGCCTGGGCAACTGCCGTGTAGTTGCCAATGAACCCGTGGATGACAGGGAAGTGTGTCTCCTCAAAGTCATTGAGCGCCGTCTCCGCAGATTTCAGGAAAAGGGCCACAAAGTTTTCAAAAGTGGCCTTGAGGTCTTTGAACAAAGGGTCCACATTGTCCTCTGCCATCAAGCTCGCGTCCAGTGCTGATGTGACTGTCTCAAACAAAGCCAACCGCTTTGTTACCTCTTCCAGATCTGGCATGCCGGATGATGATAATGCCTCCATGTCATCTTTCAACCCAGCCGCCTGTTGCAATGCACGCGCAAAGGCTTGATGCTGCAAGGGAAGCATCTTCTTGTAGTTCCATGGTGTCTCAGGCGATGGCGCATTGATGATCAAATCCAAAGACTTGGCGAAGCAAACATGCTGCAAAACCTGTGACCACTTGCACATGGCTCTTGCAGCTGGAAGCATCCCAGATTCTCGGTCTTGACCCTCTGGAATTGACAGCTCACCACACTTTTTCCAAACGATAGCAGCAAGATCCAACATGGCCATGACATGGGCGCCTGGATCATCACCTTCCGGAGCCTTGTAGCTCTGGAAAGCTGCACAGCACTCCAGCACAGCTTGCACTCCCAGCTTCATGGAAGCGCCTGTAGAAGGGAAAGATGCCAACACCGCTTCCAAGTCACCTGAGTGGGCCAAGGACTTTTTATTTAGTCTTTCAAAGTTTCAGAGTTCAAGTGGAAGAGTCCAAGATCAGATAAGATAGGCAGCCAGGAGTCCGGGAGCTATATAAGACTTAGGTCACCAGGATAATTCAAAGTCGGTCAAAGTCGAGGCCCAGTGACTATAGTTTCTAGTGGTGTACATTCTGCAGGCTCGTCTCAGACTCGGTATGATTCTGTTATGATTCATATGATATACTGATGATTCGATGATATGATATGATGATTCAGTGATTCATCTGATTCGATTGGTAATGGTAATTAGCATTTCAGAATGCTGACTGTATGCTGCAACCCATGACTCATACCGAATCTTAATTTTATCTTACCATGGACCATGGACCATTCTGAATTCAGACCATTCATCATTCATTCATTCATTCATTCATTCGTTCGTTCGTTCGTTCGTTCGTTCGTTCGTTGATTCATCATTAAATCATCGGTCTGAGTCTGAGTCAAAATCTGTCAAAGCTAGGCCGCGTAACAACTTCAAGACACGAGACACAAACTGTTTTAACAGACTCAACGCAATCTCAACGAACAGTTGATGCTGCAAAGGGACACTGCAGGTGAAAGATGCCATCCACTTCCGCCGGGACCTTGATCTCCAGCGGTTTGAAGCTTCTGGCTGATTCAGCCATGGATGGCGCTTCTGCTGGAGTTGCCGCGCTAATCCAATCCACAAGCACACGATTCATGTCCTGGATGCCTGGTTGGAACCTCTCCTGACTCCAATGAGACAAAGCTGAGATCTTCTCCAGGAACCGGGCCTTTTCCTCCCCCTGGGAATGGTTAAAATGATCATCCACACTGCCAAACTGTCGCAGCAAGTCCACGAGATCACGCACGTCAGACTTCTGAGAGTTCACCTGGTCGGCGGTGACAAGGCCGCAAACTTTGTCAAGGGTCTTATGCACAGCACTCATGTCGATGTCGGGGATCTTCCTCTCATTGTACTTCTTCACCTCTGCCAGAACCTTCCCCCACAATGTCCTGTCGAGGTGAGGGCTGCTTTTGCTCAGTGAACGTCATGAGATGCTGAGATGATCAATCATGAGTCATGAAGGACTCCGGACCATAAGACCAGACCAAAGTCATGATTCATAAGTTCATAATTCATAATTCATAAGTTCAAAAGGGAATAAATTGCACTAGTACTAATGAATTCCTCGAATCTGAATAATCTGAATCATCGATATTACCAATGAGTAGCCAGGCCAGTGATATCGGACCTGGACCAGAAGTCGTTGTGTTTGTTTGTCAACTCTTTTGCTTGCATCTGCATATAATATATATTATAATTATAATTATAATATTATATAACTGCACAGTAGTCACAGTACTGCTACCTCCTATAATTGGATGGAAGTAAGCGAAAATGTGTGTGAAAAACAGTCAAGCCCTCTGACCCCTCTGGATGAATGTTGGAGCCTGGCCTCCATTCACTTTGGGCATTCATAGCCATGATCAGCGGTTTGCTGAAGGTGGAAATTCTGCTGACCAAGGTCAGGTACTTGCCGTCTGGCTCGCCTTTGCTCACTTGAAGGCATGCCAACACGCGTTGGAGGTTCAGCATCAGCTGGCCAGAGAACCCAGTCTTGTTTTGGAAGTTCTGTGAGTCCATCTGCTGGAAAAGATCTGGCCCGTCTGGCAGCCTGAAAGAGCGAGAAATCAAGTAACGCAACAACTCGAATTTCAAAAAAAAAACAGCACCGACAGACAACTGATATCATGAAATCGCAACATCATATTGCAGACAATCACATGAACCGCTGAATCATCAATAGTCACCGTCAGACGTGACAAGCCGAAAGATCGAATTCCAATTTAATTTAATACGATAATATTCAAGATTCTGATCAGATTAATTCAATAAAATCTTACAGAAATAGAATCATCCTAATCGATCTTTATATCAACAATCAATCTGAATCATGTCGAGTCAGTCATATCATTTAGTCTAGTTTTGACTCGAGCTGTATCATATCAATTGAGTCATGAATTCGATCAAATCCAACTCTGAATCTGCAGCATCCTAGTCGCTTGGCACAGCATGTCAGCATGTTACCTTAAGACTGGGCTGATTTAAATCTGAGGATTCCGAATGCAGATAGGGAACCACTGGCAGGGCTCCAGGGAATCAATCTTCAGGCTTGGAGGGATCATGCCTTCAGCCAAAGACGGTCCAGTTGCAAGACGGAGCCGTTCGAAGAACTCATTCACGCACTGGGCCTGCACCTTCAACAGGAACGGCCAAGGAAGTGGATCCTCTTCATGTGCAATCTCGCCTGGTTTGGTGTCAGGCTTGTACTGGTGTGTCTCCAGGATGCAGTGGAAAGAGAAGTGGAGCTTCTCTTCATTCTCGGGGGGGGCGACAACCTCAAGAATTTGAAGAACAGGAAATTGTTCTCAGCCTGGGCAATGGCAAGTTGGTTAGAGTTAAAGTTTAACAACCCAGCTGGGACCATGTTCATATGTTCTGAATTCTGGGGGACCCAAAGGGCCAAAGACCGGTGACCAGATCAAATCAGAATCTTAGAATCTAATTAATCTAACCGAACCAGTAATCTAGTCTAGCAGCAGCAGCAGCAGAATGCCCAAAACCATGGCTTGTTGAAACTTGTCACACTTGTCAATCGAAAAAATCAACAAACCACTGACAAACCACTGACTGGAGCAGTGGTTCCATCACCATATGAAACTGTCTTCCATCACCATATGAAACTGTCATGTCAGAGTCATATCACATTGAACCATCACATCACATCACATCATATTTCTGAATCATTGACGAAGCAAAGAAATTGAATCAGAATCATTTTCAATCATTTGAATCATGTCATGTCGTTAAGAAGAAGCCAAGAAACCGAGTGCAACTTTTTCGCTGTGAAGTTCAGCATATCCATCAACGTTGGGTGGTCCTTGTCGCTCAAAAGGAGGTCAAACAAGTTCAGAAACAGCCGTGGCACATCTCCACCTTGATGCAACTCCTTCACCAACTGATCCGGAGTGATGGACCGAAGTTCGCGGCAAAGATCTTTGAAGTCACTTAACCGCTCTGCCAACTTGCTCATTGTGTCCAGCATCTCCTTCACCTCCTCGCTGCCAGCAAAGAACCCCTCATTGTCGATGAGAGCCCGCAACTCTTTCTCAGTCTGGCTGCACTTCTGGATTCTCCTCTCAACTTCACCTGTGCGGACCACGCTGCGCCACATCATGTCTGCAGAAAGCTCTTCCATTGTGGTGAAGGCTTTCTTTGCGTTGCTCAGGACCTTGTCAGCACGATCTTGTTTTGCTTTGGCAGCCTTGCTCTTTGCAGCAGCAAGAGGGGGTTCCTTTCGATCCTTGCCGGGCTTGTCAGTGGAAACTCCAGGAAGCGGCGGGGGGTCCTCAGTCTTCGACCGTCCGGTTTGGCCCTCCTTTGCCACACCTCTGCGGCGCTTCTTGGCAGGAGCCTCGGAATCACTGGCGAAGCCCCCAAAGCTGGAATCGCTCTCTTCATCTGAAAGCTCTTCAGCCTTCGAAGCATCACCTTTGTTCGAAGCATCCTCTTCAAGGGCCTGACTCTTCGCCAAATCTTCCTGCATGGAGTTGACGACCAAACTCAGGGTGGTCACATGTAACATGTCACACATGTCAGAATCCGAGTTGTATCAAAATTGTCATGGGCCGGGAGTAATGACATGTAAAGTTTTTGTTTTGAAAGGATAGGGATAGGATAGGGAGGATATGGGTAGGGCCAGGGCTATCAAATAAAATTACTGGAATTCAATAAGTGACACGTCACATCAGTGAACCAGTGGTAGTGATCAGAGATGAGATCGGTGTCAATGATTCATAAGATTAAGATTCATGATTGATGGATTCATCGGAAAACATTGGGCTGACATGTTGAGTTTTGGACTCAAGACTCAAGACTCAAAACATCACAGTCACAACACATGACAATGATGATGTCACGGAAAAGCCCGGCCTTTCTGTTGGTTGAGACTTCAACAGCTTCTCGGGCACGCTTCATGGCCTCCTTTGCCTCACCACGATCTGTGAATTCCTCCTCCCTGCTTCGAGCTGCGGAAGTCTTCGATCCAACCAGCATCAAAGTCTCCTGTTCAACAGGCACAGACTCCTTGCCTGTTTGAGGGTGCTTGACGAACTTCACGTCCGGGCACGCTTCCTTCAACCAACGTTTCCTCTCTTTGTCCGTCTTGAGCGGCTTCTTGGGCTGACGCTTCAAGGTGCCAATGAAATCAGCCAAGCTCAGCAGCTTGTTTACCTGAGGATGGGCTTGCGAGTCAACCAGGATTCGGATTAAGAAAACAACAGGAGTAGGCTGAGTGATTCTGATTCGAATTCGAACAGGAGGTTGGTGGTCTATGCCTGGGTTGATTGACTCTGTGAAAATTGAACTGTAACTGAACTGATGATTTACTAATTACAGCCAGCCCAGTAAAAAAAAATACAGTGTAAAGTCCAGAAAAGTATATAATACAGTATATAATATATATAGTAAGATTAAGATTAAGATGCGATACAATTGATACAGTAGTGACACTAGTGATATGTATGATATGCAGTGATACAGTGATATACAGTGATTCAGTGATACAGTTATATAATATATAATATACATGAAAATTATTTGTGAATCTCGACAGAATTCGACAGCCCAGCAAGGCACTTGACGAAAATCCACATAATCTTCACTGCACTTCTTCACCAAATCCTTCAAGTCATGTTTCTCGTGTCTCGATCGTTTCTTTGGGTGAAGAATCATGTCGGAAACCTTCCTTCTCCTCAAGGCTCTGAACCTGAGTCACTGGAAGGTTGCCAGGCGTTGAAAGATTCATCGTTGATAATTTGAACTTTGAGTTCTGAGTCGGTCCAGTCTTTTGTCATTTGTCATGAGTCACAGTCTTCATCAAATCAGCATTAAACTTGTATGCAGTATGCATCTGCATTGGCATTATCTAAATAAAATAATGAAACACAATTTCCTTTGAAAGGGGTCCCATTCACCCTGAGGACCCCTTTCGAGGGAAATCTTGTTATAGTTATAAGTTATAATTTATAATCAGAAATCAGAACCAAAATCTATAGAATCTATGTCTACTGTCTACTGTCCACAGCGCATAGCAATGCTTTCTGCATTTCATAAAAATTTGATTATATCGAATCATGAGTCATGTGCGTCACCTACATAGACAGACATATGAATCGCAGAGGACTCCGAGGACCATTGGACCGATTGGGATCAATGTACCAATATATAAAATATATAATATAATATATAATATAATATAATTTATAATATAATAATTATAATAATAATATTATAAATTATAACATATAAGAAAAAATATAAATCACCACCCTTGACACCCAATTGAAATGTCATGACACCTGAATGCAACGAAATGCCCTTATAAATCGAAGAAAGGAATGGAATGAATTCTGAATCCTCTGAATCAACGTGACTAGACCATCTCTATGAGTCTATGTCTATGACTATCATCGACAATGGGCCCATGAATCATGAATCCCGGCGCCGGTGCAGAATATAATATAATATATCAATGTCAATGACAATGACTACTATGACTCTGACTATCAGTTGAGTTGGGCCGAGCAGCTTCTTCTTCACTCCTGGGTGCTCCTTCATGGCCGTCTGGAGCTCCAGCTGTGAAGATCCTGGGAAAGAGCCTCGTTGGACGTAGAAGCACGGACAACAGATAGAAGATCCAGTCTTGCTGGGCTGCACAAGCGGAGGATCTGACGTGATCTCTTTTGGTGTGTCCTGCTGCTACCATCAGCCAAGGTGACTTAGACACCCCAATCATTGGGCCCCAATCCAATCTTAGACTCTTAGACACTTGGGCTACTTGGGCTTGGAATTGGCTGGACAACACTAGGAACGGGCTAGGCTAGGCTAGACTATGGCTATGTCACTAGACTGTCTAGACTAGACTGGACTAGGCTGCGGCTATGTCACTGTGTCACTTGGAAAACATTCCAGTCAGTCCACAGCAAAACGTGTAACTTGGCAACCCGGTTTTTCAGCAACAGTACCAGCCACACTTTGTCCCGGAGTCCTCATCTAGGTTGCCAAAGTTTTGCAAGCAATGAATGCACATCCTCTCGTCACCATTGTCACCCTCCTCAACCTCTGAGTCGTGGGACTTGTCACTCTCAGATGGCATCGTGCTGCGCAACGCAACACAAAGAAAAGGTCGGAGTGATCGGCCCGAAATCTGAAATCCAAATCTTGCAATGGCCGGCAATGGAATATTCGTCTGACATCCTGTGCACTTATACTGTATACTTATGTCAACTTGTGTGCAGCTTGTGTGGCACATGTCACATGCCTCACTATGATGACAATCTCAATGGTGGCTTGTGAGCGAATGGAACTTCAACTTGAACTATCCATGAACGCTGTCACACTTTCGCTGACTTGAAAACTGAGATCAAGCCAGCCAGCCAGCCAGCCACGCCAAATGAAATCAAGCAGCTCTACAGTGGGTACCTTTCGGCCCCGCGAATCAGGTGTCAAGCCTGAATGCAAACTGGATGATTCGACAATAGGCTAGGGGCAAGTTGGCAATACTGACTCATGGACAATGCAACTTGAGTTGTGCGGAGCCAACGGCCAAATCGGAAAATATCAGCATTGGCAATGGAAATCATATCGAATCATGAATCATATCGAATCATGAATCATGAACCATATCATATCAGAATCGCATCCTCATATTCATCATATCAATATTCAGATTCATATCATCGAATCATATCGAATCATATCATATCTAATCATAGTCTAGTCTAGTTCAGAACTGTTGAACTGCTGAGAGTCAAGTTAGTTAGTTAAGTACTTAAGTTATGTTGGAGATCTTTCGCAATGCCCAGAAGCCAATGGAGCATCGCGGCATGTCCTCATCTTTCACTGCATGGCAACGGTACGTCACATCGTTCATGCACGACACGAAGTTCACAAAAGGCATCCGGAAGCCTTCGTAGGTGTTGAACTCCTCAGCCACCTGACATGGCGATATGAGATATGGACATGGAGATATTATATGATTCGATTATGATTCGATTATGCTGTATGTATGCTTTGATTCGATGCAGCAAGTAAGTTGAAATGATTCATTGAGTGTTTAATATTGTCTCTGCTATGTTAGTTATTTATGAAAGAAAGATTCAATGGATGGAAATTCTCCAACTCCTGGACTCCCCAATTGCCTCCTGCAATGTCTTGCGAGGGTTCTTCTTCTTGAGCTCATCAAACTGGTACATCATACCGCGCTCCCACTCCTGAAGGAGTTCCCTCAGTCCGGACGGTTTGAGTTTGAATATCAAGTCTGAGTCTGAGTCAGATTCAAAGTCATGAGGATTCATGATTCATAACTTAGCTCCTTAAACATATGTAACGTAACATACATGCTTACAGGCTCTGGACTCAGCTTGTCTGGCGACAGGGTTTCAAAGTTCAGGATCAAAGGCGAAACAACACACAGGGTTCAGGATAGAGGAGATGCAAATGCAGGACACTGATGCCATCTACTGCGTGCTGAGCTGAGTGTCGTTTTGACTCAGATGAAGAACATTACAAACCCTTTAGTGACCAATGCCAACCAGCTACTCAAAGCCGCCACCGTAGAAACAAAACTCCTTGGTGATGAGCCAGCCGCCTGCCATCCTCAAGTCAGACAGGCGCCACCAAATATGAAGCTGTCAAAAACCGCTAAAGCTAGACCTGTGATCACATCTTATTATCTTATCTTATCATCATTATCATATATCATTATATCATTGTATCATCTATCATATAATACATATATCATATATCATATATCTATGATAATCATATTCATCATTGCCATGCCTGCTGTCTATCTATGTCTATGTCGATCAGTTGTTGACAGCCACTCGCTTTCTGCAAAACCAGTCCACAGCCCACTCAGTAATCCAATCAAAATTCTCTGACCTCTGAGAACTTTGTAAAAACATGGGCACTGGCCATTGGCTTGGTAAGCCACAATCAAAGTGCAACATGTGAACATGTAACATGTGCATTCAAGGATCGGGAAGCATGGGATTGGAATATCCGGGATTTCCTCCGTGAACATATCTTGTGTCTGCGGGATTTCGCCCATGGCTAAACGGCAAGTTCCAGCGGCTTGCTGGGTAACTCAGGCTGAGGGCCGGAAGACACCCAGGGCTCAAGCTGAGTATTGGAAACAAGAAATGGCTAAATGGACCAGGTCGCTTGTAATTATCAAACTCTCATTCCCACACCAGTCCTGTCGCATACTGAATTCATTGATTGAAAGATATTGAAAGTGCAACCCTGGCAGCCCTCACACTTCCCAAAGACTCAGAAACACTCAGAGACTTAAAATTCTCTAATTTGCAAGTCTTGAATTGCAAGGGCTCCAAGAAAGCCACCCGTTCAGGCCTCTTTAATGGCGAACTGCTCAGTCTGAGGCTCCTGCCCCAGCAAGGAGGAAACAAGAACGGAACCATGATTTTGCGCGTCCCGTCACAAGTACTGTATGCAGTATGCATCGAGAATTCATATCAATTCAGATTCATATCATTCATTTCGAACCGACGAATTTATATAATGAATGAATCTGAATCACGGAATTTCGGAATCATCATTCATCATGCATCATGAATCATGAATCATCATTGACTTTGGCCATACACATGACATAGGCATGGACATCGATCAAGTGTCGAATCATAGTCTAGAGCAATGAGTCGAGTCATATCATACAGTCGAGTGGGAACCAAATCATGGTGTCTCAAGCTCCTTCTTGGTCTGAGGGGGGATCTGAGGCAGCTTCATCTGAGCCAGCATCGTCGGAAGTATCAGTCTCAGTGGCATCCTGGGTGTCCTCAGTGTCGCTGTCAACCTCCTGCCAGCACCACTGGCTGCTTGGAGGAAGCACAATCCTGTTGCGCTTCAATGGCCTCACGAACGGCAGAAACAACATTTTTCAAACAAACCAAATCTGAATGGCGATGGCCATTTTCATCCAGAACTAAAGGATCAGTTTACAGGTTCTGGCCATGGGACATGACTCAAACTCAAACTCATGACTCATGTGCTAAAACAAATCAAAGCAAGGCGCTCGGCATCATCCCCAAATGGATAGCAATAAAGGATAAGTCCAACGAAGCAAGCTCCCACGACGCTGGTGGTCATGCCATTTCCTGCGCAGCTAAGGCCAAACTCTTGGTGATAAGTACTACAGTCCTAGGCCTTAGAGAGGTGGAATTCGGAATCCTGATAATCATGGCGGCGATGATCTTCATTCTCATATGGCCATGGATAAATCCTGGATGCATGACAACGCCAGGAAATTGAAAACCTGCTAGTTCAACCAATCTGAAGTGGGCAGTGGGCAGCACAAATCAAAGTACTTAGACTAATACCATGTCCTGGACCAAGAATTCAGGATTTGGGATTTGAGAGGTCAGAAAAAAACGAAACAGGTAACAGTAACTCACATCACTGCACATAATTTAAATTCATAATTTACTTTTATCATTATCCTGGTTGGCACTGCTTGGCCTTTCCCTGTCGCACCTGCCAGTCTGGTCAGAAGGTTGTACTTCGAGCCACTCCAGAGAAAATCCCGCGGGTCAAAGCCTTGACCAGCCAGCAATGCCTAAGGATCTAAAGGCCAAAGGTCCAAAAAAACACATGGCAACTAGTGCAACTAGTACGTAAGTAGACTATGACTATGGCCATGACCATGACTATGTTTCGATAATAATACGGATTATATATGATATGATATAATATTATAATATAATGATATACAGTTATTTGAAATTTGAAAATTTGATGAGATGAGATGTTTGAAATTGATGTGGAGGCATTGATACTGATACTGATACTGGTCATGAATCGACATGAGTCAGTGGTAAAGTAATCTGAGACATTTGCTGATTGCTGTGCTTATTTTACCCGACATGGCATGAGGCATGCGGCATGCATGCAGCATAAATTGACGTGCAACAATATGGACTGCAAATAGACGAAACAAGTTGTTGACTGATTATCAATCATTGATTGACTATCATTGTCAATGCCACATCCAGCGATCCAGAAATCACGTGTCAATATAGCCATGCTGCATGCCTCACTCATGCAACAAAGGCTCTTGCGCAGGTAAAAAAGCCTTCTTTCCCAGATGAAACAGCTTCATCGACGTGGAGAATGCCGCCCCCCGGCCGTTCAAGTAAGCGCCCATGGACTGCTGAGCACTTCCTAGGCTGCCCAAGCATTAAAAATAAGCAAGAGAATCAAAGGATTTCTGGAACAGTGTTGACGGGAGCCGCCTTCTACTACATCTAAAGTATCATCTTGTCAGTGTTGCCACTGATAATTCTGATGATCTGATTTATTTTCCTGGCCGCGGCGGCATTTCTGCATCTTATTTTAAGTTGATTCGTTGATTGAATTCTTTCCCTGGCTTACTGCCTGGCCTGTCTCCCACACTAAGACGCTGGCTAGCGATGTCCACATAGGAGTTGTTGATGTCCACACCCCGCTTCTGGCATTGACAAACCAGTATCGGAGATGCTGAAAAATGCTACCAATTTTTACTACACCTTTCGTCAAATCTACCTATTCTGGGTATGCGGTATGCTGCCCGTTTATTCCGAACAGTCTAGGGTTTAGGCTTAGGGCAAAAGGAAGGGAATGCTGCCCGTTTTTTTCCGAACAGTTTAGGGTTTAGGCTTAGGGCAAAAGGAAGGGAATGCTGCCTGTTTTTTTTTCGAACAGTTTAGAGTTTAGGCAAAAGGAAGGGAATGCTGCCCGTTTTTTTCCGAACAGTCTAGGGTTTAGGCTTAGGGCAAAAGGAAGGGAATGCTGCCCGTTTTTTTCCCGAACAGTTTAGGGTTTAGGCTTAGGGCAAAAGGAAGGGAATGCTGCCCGTTTTTTTCCGAACAGTTTAGGGTTTAGGCTTAAGGCAAAAGGAAGGGAATGCTGCCCGTTTTTTTCCGACCAGTTTAGGGTTTAGGCTTTGGGCAAAAGGAAGGGAATGCTGCCCGTTTTTTCCGAACAGTTTAGGGTTTAGGCTTAAGGCAAAAGGAAGGGAATGCTGCCCGTTTTTTTCCGAACAGTTTAGGGTTTAGGCTTAGGGCAAAAGGAAGGGAATGCTGCCCGTTTTTTTCCGAACAGTTTAGGGTTTAGGCTTAAGGCAAAAGGAAGGGAATGCTGCCCGTTTTTTTCCGAACAGTTTAGGGTTTAGGCTTTGGGCAAAAGGAAGGGAATGCTGCCCGTTTTTTTCCGAACAGTTTAGGGTTTAGGCTTAAGGCAAAAGGAAGGGAATGCTGCCCGTTTTTTTCCGAACAGTTTAGGGTTTAGGCTTAGGGCAAAAGGAAGGGAATGCTGCCCGTTTTTTTCCGAACAGTTTAGGGTTTAGGTTTAGGACATGCAGGGCTGCCACGTTTAAGATTAAAAATCTTAGAAGGGTACGGCACTTACATAATTTTCATTGATCAAAAGATCAGATCACCAAATCACTTCACCAACAAAGGGAAGGGAACACTGCCTGTTTTCCCTCCACAGTTGAGCGTTTGGGACTGGAAGGCAAGTAAGAAAACCTCAAGCTTAACATATCTGAATTGAGAATCTCAATCGAAAAAATGATACATGGTGATATGATATATATGATATAAATATATGCTATGATATATGAGCATCGAATCATTGAATCACATCACCGTATCATATAATCATATCATATGTTATAAAAATAATAAAATATATAATATAATAATATAATTTATATAAAAAAAAATAATATAATATAATTTAATATAATATAATATCATATAGTATAAATAATAGTATAAGATATGATATATATTAAATATATTATATATTATATGTCATAATATCTTAAAATATATGTTAAATATATAGCCTATATAGCTGTTCCACCGAACGGTTCCGAACGGTTCCGTGGATATCCCCCGAACGGTTCCGAACGGTTCAAAGAGGCCCGAACTATTTCGAACTATTTCGAACTATATCAAACTAGTAGGAAAATTACCTCCGAACGGTTCCGAACGGTTCCGGGGAACCACTATATCAACTTAAGTTAACTTATTATATAAGCATCATGTAAGAATCAAAATCAAACATCATACATAAGTTATAAGATAAGATAAGTTATAAGTGTTAAGTAGTTAAGTTGTAAGTTATAAGTTATAAGTTAAAAGTTCTATAAGTAGTTCTTAGTTCTTAAGTTAAACAAGTTAAAGTCAAAGTTATAAAAGTTCAAAGTTCTAATAAGTCACAGTCTAAGGCTCAAGACTAAGACTATAAGATAAGTCAGAGTCGGACTAACTTAAGTTAAGTAGCTAAGCTAAGTGCCTGCCTGGTATAAAAATATTCGAAGTTACAGTTGAAGAAAAGCCTAAAGTTCAAAACAGTATAAGTCAATCCCATCCCGGGACCAGCCATGGAACCAGGCCTTGAGTCGAGCATGTTCCACTTCCAATTTGATAAGCTCCCGCTGGTTCAACAGCTGCCTTTGACCCCTGGAGAGGGACCGTATGAAGGGCCCCTGCCCAGAAGAGGGCAAGCCCAATTGCTTCAGAACAGCCTGAAGCCTGGCGCTTGCCCTGCCATTGTCGTTGGAAGATCGGGAAGAGCCATCCTGCCAAAAATGAAACGAAAGCTTAAGACTCGTGACTCGTTAAGACTAAGAAAATTGCCACGCGAGCATAAAAAAGGTATCCCGGAACCGTTCGAGAACCGTTCGAGAACCGTTCGAGAACCGTTCGAGAACCGTTCGGAACCGTTCGGGCTATGACAAACCTCTATCTTTTTCTCAAGTCTGATTCCGAAATAGTCCGAATTATTCCACAAAATTAGCGATGGCGATAATAAAATATTAGCTGTAGTATTTTCTGTATTCAGGATTGATTCGGATTGATGGATCTTCCATCTTCATTGGATTTTTTGGCTAAATCACGCCAAGGTCAAATATAATATACCGGCAAAACACTCTGGCCACCACATGACTGATGACTCATGACTCAGGATCCGCCATTCATGATTCATAGATTCAGTATGTAACGCTTGGAAGTAGCTAAAGCCTAAAGCCGCCCAAAAAACGATGGGCTGTCCTGCGCCGGGCTTGGAAAAGTCAGCTGAGAGCCGCTTCGCTCACAGAACGCCCAACCTGATATCAAACGGAATCAGTATCAAAACAACCAGGACGACTGAGTAGGACCAATCTGCATTACTGGAATCATAATCAAAATTTTCAAAATATAATATATTGAATCATCATTGTCAATGAATCATTGTCATCAAATCTAGAAAGACTGAAGACTTGAAAGAACTAAGAACTGAGAACTGTGCTGCATCGTTCTGTACAACATTTCACAAGAACTTTGAATCTTGATTTTCTGAATCCGTAATGTGACACACAACACGACTAGTAACTGATATTGACATTGACGAATTATCCGGTCGAGTCCATTCCAGCATCCTTCCCAACAAACATGTCACTGAGCCAGGTTCCAGACATAATCAAACGTAAAGGAAATCAGACCAACCAAGCCAACTAGGCAATGGCAATGTATTCGTAAGTCAACAGTACCATCAATCATCAATACCAACAATGTGACAATTTGCCACTAGACTAGACTAGACTATGCAATGCCTGTAGCATGAACGAAACCGATGATCCTGTCCTTGCCAGAGGTAAAACAAACATCAGACATGGGAACAGGCAACCGAGCAAAAGAATGGGGACAGTTCAAAATCCGACCCATAGACTATAAAATTAATAGATGACATATAACTTAACTGAACGAAAATGACAGTAACAAAAACACACACACTGCCGCACTGTCAGAAAACAATGGCGATGATATGAATGAATTGAATCATCCAGTAGTCAGTGCATAAAGTCATAGACCATAGAGCCTGAGTCATACTAAAGATTCAGACTGACTCTGCCTCAAACTCCTCCAAACAGAGGCAATGCGGCAAGACGGGAAAACACACCTGTTGACCACTGGTGAATGATTCATGAATCATGATTCCATGGTTCGGACTGTACTGATATTATCTGAATATTGTCATATTGACATATCATTCATTCATATCATATGATCGAATCATATCATCATATCATCATATCATGGAATCATGAATCATGAATCATTAAATGATAATTTATAATTATAAATATAGTCTATAGTCGATAATTAATAATAATAATATTTCATTGTTGGGTCACGAACCATGAATCATATCTATTAATGGCTTTTATCGTTTCACCTGCATCAACGGCGGCAACGTTAACCCTGCCAAAGTCAGGGATCAGAGACAGCACCGAGTGGCAATCGGTCAAGCTGGCAGACCCCTGATGTGCATGAGGGGCTATATGCTCAGCGAAGTGGCACATAGCCATGAAGCTAAGGGGGTCGATGATGTCCTTTCTGCATGCCAGGATGTAGCAGCGCTTGCGGCAATTCGGGGAACCATACTGCGAAGACCTGAGGGGATGAATCAAACTACTGAGACCATTTAATCATCAAATGCCATGGGCCATGGGCTCATTCATGGACCACCAGACTCGTAGAGTTTTAGAGGAGAGCATTGAATCCATGAATCAATGATAATGATAATATAATATAATTTATAATTATAATGTACTTAAGTCACTTAAGTTACTTAAGTACATAATCATTGGAATCATTGGGTCAATATGTCCACGACGGTTCTTGAGATCAAGGCCCATTTTGGGATTCAGAGAAAATCAAGCCTGCCAGATTTGGATTGCAACGCCAAGACTCCGCAAGGTCAAAACTTTGATGTGGTAAGGAATGTAGCCAGCTTCCCTGAGCGCCCCCAATCCAAGCAAGGGACAATTGAACGACTCATATTTCGTAAGCCAGCTCAGCATGAATCTTTTCATTTTATACTGATGCCGATTCTGTAACATAAACATAAGACATGAGCCATGAGTCATCAGTCATAAACGCAGATTGATAAACCATGGGCCATGGTCTGTAGTATCTGTAGTAGTGCAACAAATATATGCATGATGATTCAATGATGATATGATACATAATATAATATACTTTAATTGATATATGATTTGGTGTGATGTGAGAGATTGAGATAGATAGATATGTAACATATGTATATGATATGATTTGATTGATTCATGATAATATGTGATGATAATGATGATATTATATTATATATATTATATATATGATATGTGATAGTGATATGATATGTGCTGCATAATGTGATATGATTCTGATTTGATATAATATGATTTGATTCGATGGCCAAGAGTCGGCAAAGCCAGCCCGTACTTCTCTTGGGTCACTGGATCAACCCCGTTCAAGAAGAAGTCGATAGGTGCCTCCGGCAAGCGGGGCTTAAATTGAAAGAAGACTGGTGGGCAGGATTCAGGAATCACAAAAACTGATGACCTGATTTGATTTGATTTGTTTGTTTGTGTCAATAATGACTAGACTCTAGACTAGATCTGATTCAGATTGAAATTCGATGATGAGATCGGTCGATGTCGATAACTGATAAGTTAATAAGTGATTGATATCGTTTAAAATCTGAATCTGAATCTAATCTCTTCATGATTAAGGCCGCACACTGGCATACTGCAAACCAGCAATCAATAATCACATGTCATCATGTCACGTCACGTCATATGAATTGCTATTCCGATGCCGACAAATCAGAACCAACACTTTCCTTGATTTAATCAAACTTCAAACTGTCAAGCCACGACCAAGCTGGATGGGGAATTCTGAAATTCTGACTAAATCAGATTGTGATTTTTGATTGAAAAACTCATGGAGCTGGAGTCGCCTAGAATTTTTGAGAATCAATGAAACAAGATGAAGCCAATTTCAAATTGCAGTGATGACCAGTGGGGACTCTGGGGGGTCTATGTCTTGAACTAGATATTCATCTGGAAAGTGAATGTCCGCTAGTCACCCGTGAGTATGGTGAACCAAGACAAAGATCATTGAAGCTAAGCTGCCATCATGCGACAGATTACCGAGTGCCAATGTCAATGACTCAATGTGACTGAATATATCAGTTACAAAATGTTACAAATCTTGACTTAGACTTTATTGATGATTCCGATTCCCATCGGCTGGAGACACCCCGGCGGTTTTCCTCACTGATGTTGATGCTGCACTGTGAGGCCACAAGTGATTGTGCCAACGGCGACGAAATGATGAAATTCAAAAACATCACCGGGCGAACTCATCCCATCCCCAAATATCAAATATAGTTCAGATCATCACGCCTCTGGAGGAATGCGTGATCAGTGATCAGCCCCTGAGAAAAAATTGAAGAATCAGAATAATGACTCAAGCCGCTCAGACTCAAGCCTCTGATGCTTCATTTGATGGCGCTCGCTCACTCATCCAATTTTGAAACCAGAAACCTGTTGAACCACAACAACACGCCTATGCCGCCTATGCCTATGCCTATGAATAGTCATGATTCATGACTATGACTATGAGTCAATGTCAATGAGTCTATAGTCTATGACTATGAATCTAGCCTAGAGTCTACAACTCTACAACTGTTCTTTGGGTTCCTCAATCCTGATTGACGTAGATGGTGCCCGCCGCAGAACTTGCAAAGAAGCACGGCTGGTCCAGCTCGAGTCAACACCAATGATTCTAAAGATTCATGACTCATGATTCATTCATGATTCATGATTCATTAATGCTTTGATGTGATGATGTGATGAGTGATGTGATGTACATTTCGATTCCTACAGCTACATGTCACGTCATCAACCATGTGAGCTGGAAGCCTCTGCGGACTTTGCTCGCAATTGCTGGATCAAGGCTTCTACGTTCTCAATCGCAGAATCCGGCAAGACGTCTTTGGCATTGGAAGATGCACTGCCAGCTTTGACTTTCAGAATCCATTGGCTGAAGAAAGCTAGGGCCTCCGGAACACTGCCCTTCTCTATGGCAAGAAACTCTGAAAAACAGCTGTGGTGCACATACGCATGGAACTTCATCTTTGAGTAAGCATACCCGATGCGGGTAACACCTTTGGCTATTGCTTGAACGCAAAACCGACACTTGGCTAAACGATTGGCTCGCTGGACGGAGACTTCCACAACTCCGACCTTTGGATTGCACTGGGTTTTGCCTGCCACTGCTGCAGGCTTCTGTGTCTGGGATTGCGGCTGCGGTGCATCTTTTCTGGAACTGGCAGGGTTGGAGCTTTCCTGGAAATGATCTCTGAGAATGTCAGTTGTTTCCTTCTCCTCCGCCTTCTCAGAACTCGTCCGAAATTTGTGTTCGGCCTCTTGGCCAGAATCAGAATCAGAACTGGAACCACTGCTGCTGCTGCTGCTGGAATCATCAGAGCTGTCAGAACTTGAGCTTGATGAAGCTTCAGCTACATGTGATTCGCATGGGGCATTGTCTGGCGCATTGGCCGTCTTCGGCCGCTTGGTTGTCTTTTCTGTGGTCTTTTTGGCCTTGGGACGCTTGAGGCCGAATGCAATGTTCCCTTTGGGTTTTGAAGTTCTTCTTGCTGGAGGCTTGTGGCTGATTTCAAGCCTCTCCCCACCAACCTCAACCAAAACTACGGACAAGGCAGACTGGTGCGGAACCACTCTGTATTCGCACACCCTGAAAGGGATGGAATCAAACGGAAGTCGCCCGGCAGCTTCCAAAAGGCCTTGGAAGAGTTGCTGAGAAGTGCATAAATCTGGGATTGCATTGTCAGTGGCTTCACGGGGCAACACACTAACATTGGCACCCCCTGCTGCATCGAGGTGGGCTTCAATCAGCACCTGCACAATTGGCTTTTTGATCAATGGCCCAATGAAGAAGTAGCGGTTGGTAGCTCTGCTGCTGAACTGTACCAAATCTCCAGGCGATATTGTACCTAGTGGGCTTGGCTTGGTTTGAGGGGCCGCTGGCACAAAACCGCCCGACTAAGTTGGTACCCGCCTTCAAGAAAATAGTAAATATCAATATCATAATATCATATTATCAGAATATCTGATGTTAGTACGTTAGTTAGTCGTCGATCATTTCAATATATATATATATTATATATATATAATTACATTGCCTGCATATGTGATTCATGCGATATAATAATTGATAATTGATATGATTCTGATATATAATATATAATATTATATATATTATATATATCATATAATCATCATATATAATATAAATATTATATAATATATATATATATATAATTATTATTATATAATATGATTTCATTTTATTATTAAAAAATTATAATTATAATTATAATTATATAATATAGTTATAAGTTATAGTATAGTTTGATGTAACTGCTGCATCTGTATCTGCATGAAGTAGTTTGTAATCGTCGTTAATGATACAGTACTTACAGTACAGTACAAATACAAACACAAATTACAAATACAAAGAACTGCCAGACCGGCCATTCTGAAGTTCTGCACTGACAAAACCTGATTGACGATGAATTGAATCTGAATCAGAACCAGTCAAGTCAGTCTAGCCTAGTCAGCCTAGTCAGTCTAGTCGCAGTCTGGACATCCAGACTTAGAGAAAAACAATACACAGCAACAATAATGTCGCTGTTCAAGCCTGCTATTGCTTTGGATCAGATCAGGATCTAAATTTGTCAGAAGTGAAGTAACTAACATAACATATAACTTAACATAACAACAATGACATCAATGAATCATGGACCAGACTCAGCAGAGGCTCAGCAATGATGAACTTTTAATTGAAAATGAACCAATTCTACTGAGGATTCCGATCTGATGAAGGGCAATGCAGCCAGAATCAGCCTGCTGCCTGAACCGCAGAAAAAATTAAACCAGGATACCCGCAGCCACAAAGTCTTTGAAACTCTTGACAAATTTCTTGGCTAAGGCGGAGTGGGGCTTCCGTCGACAATGCCCCCAAGCTTCCCAACAGGTAGAGTGAAAGCATCCAGGGAGGTCGGCTTCGCAATCAAACTCCGGAGCTGGAGCGGGGCTGTGCATAGCCTCCGATAGCAACTTGCTGATTTCCTTGCTTCTGGTCTCAGAGTCAATCAAATCAAGCCGCAAACAGCCATCAGCAGAACCCAACCCCATTGCCACTTGTGACCACATCTCAGACTTGTCATACCGCCGGTAGGTTTCAACAACACGGGCCTGAGAAAGCTTTTTCAAAGCTTTTGGCGCCAATTCTGCCACTGCATCAAAACATGCGCGGCCCAAGTCTTGCGGGCCTTCCTTGCTGGCAAAGGGCTGTTTCATGGCCTCATTTCGCACATACTGTTCGTAGGCCGCTTTGTCTTCAAAGGATGCCTTGACATCTTGAGATTCAGTGGCCCACTTCTCAGAACATTTGCGGACTTCTTGCTTGTACGTTCTGGGAGAAACAGGCGGCTTGCCCTGGAACCACTCCCGCTGGTACATGTTCCAACCTGGGCAGTGAACTTCATGATTCATGATTCATAATTCAGCACACTCAGCAGGATTCTATTCCATGGTCTGACTCAGAGTGTCTGTGAAGGGGTTGTTGTTTGTAATTTTTCATAATAATGATTAGTGATTAATAATGATTAATGATTCATTCATGCTACAGTTTGTGAGTTGTTGACTATTGACTATTGACGTCAGTCACGTCACACAACTAAAAAAACGTGAGCACAACATAACATATGTGAACAGAGAACTGTTTCCAATCAAGTTGAACTGTGACTGTAATCAAATGATCAAACAGTAACATGCAACATGCTCAAACCAAGAGCAAACCGCTGATAAAGAATCGTGAATCTGCATCATGAATCATGAATCAAGAACCATGAACTGAAAACCTAACCGAACCTAACCTAACTCCTCCTCACCATCATCACCATCGAATCATCACTGATCACTGATCACCATCATCATCATCATCATCATCATCATCGAATCATCATCGAATCATCAAATCAATCAATAGCCGCCAGGAAGCCACACAAACGCTTTCGTTTGAATCGAGGGTTTCGACTGGGTTCGGCATTGTCCTCAACTTTTGACATTGCCCGCACTTGCAGCATGGTAAGCTTGGGCCTGTGGCCAACGCGCACTGAGGATGATGACCTGTTGTAGAAAGCTGACACCCTGCGTCGAGCCTGTGTGTCCCCAGTCCTGTCCCATATCCACTTCATCACAACATCCCAAGAAGACAACAGTTTGCCCCACAAGCAAATCTCTTTGGCAGTGTTGTCGGTGGGTTTCGTGCCCCTGAAACGGTGCAAACTGGATTGCGCGAAGCCGTGCAAGGCCTCGACAGAATCTGTGCTCACTGGCGTGAAAACGGACAGGTCTTGCAAAAACTGCTGAATCTTGAGCGCAATGTGGACATGGTCTGGGTTTGCAGGATCAAACGGGGATGGCAACTTGCCCAAAAGTACAGCTGTGAACTCTGGATCCACGCACTCAGGACACTGTCGCGCCTCTTGCTGAAATCTGGCAAGTTCTTTGCACAGGTCTGCAGTGGACTCCAAAGCACAAAGCTTCCACAAAACGTGTGGGAAACTCTGGTGGTTGTGGCAGAACCGCCTCCATGACTCGCCTATTTGCGCAAGGCATAGCACAAAAAAGTCTCTGGCCAATGACTCAGAACCAATCCTAACACTTGGCATTGACCTCATCTTGTCGAGGTATTCTCGGACCAGCTGTTCCCCAAATTCGCCAGACATGTATGCCTTGAAGAGCGTAGATGACCTGGGTCAGCTGGATGGCTCTAGAATTGACCGAGGATTTCAAAAAAAGTCACAGAATCAGATCCAAAGCCAAGTCTTGGAGTCAGGTCAGGTTGTGACTTCCGAGTTTGAATCAAAATTTGTAGTGGACCCATGTGACACTTACACTTACTGTCACTTACACAGAGCCATCCCATCACAACATGACACATGATGACCAACTGACTAGGATACAGTATACAGTTGATATGGCAGTGATTCAGATATGATTCGGGGATGATGTGAGTGACGGATATGTTCATAAGATGAATCAGTGATATATGAAATAGGTTTGAGTCCAAGTCGGTATTCGGGAAGTCGGAATTCTTAGCATTCTGAATTTGATTTGATTTGGCTCGCCCAATTTTGCAAACGAGAAGCTGCAGCATAAGTTCTTGCCTTTCCTCTGCACTGCCAGTTGGCAAGTAGCAAAGCTTCCCCAAAATTCCTGTTCGCTGGAAGAGCTGGTACATGGCTTCAACATTTGGGTTGACAAGATTGTCAAGGATATGAATCCTGGACAGGAAATCAGGATCGCGAAATGCTGCAAACGCCAACTGTTTGCGTTTCTGATTGATCTCGGCGAAGCTAAGCTCTTTGTCAAAGTCAGCTCCCAGTGTGTCCCTGTCCTCCTCCTCCCCTGTTCCATTCAAAGCGGTTGCGCATGTCTCCCATTCCACGTCCAAGCCAACTGACTCAAGGATCCGGACTGCCTCTTGAGCCTTTTCATTGACCGGGTTCCCCTGGGACAGTCTGTCCATCACCCTTGGCAGTATTGCATGTAGAGCGCACCCTTCCTGGCGCAGGTTTATTACAACCCAACAAAACGGTGGTAAAGGAGTGTGGCACTCAGCTGACTCAGCTTGAAAATTCACTAGTCAAGACTGATGACTGAGATTGAAATGCCGGAAAACCGGAAAGCCGTTCAGAAAGCCTGAAAACAGGTCACTCAGAATCCTGGAGTCATGACAGTAATGTTAATGAATTGAATGTTAATGTTACAATCTTCCTATTTATGTTTGATGATGTCGACGATCAACTACTACTGCTGACCGCTTAGTTATCTGGTTCATGAATCCTGAATATCAAATCATTGACATTGATCAATCATATGATCATATGAATCATATGATATAATTTAAATAACGTAACATAACATAACATAAATTATGTAATAATTATAATTTTAATTCGATAATTATTAATAATTATACAATATTTATATGACTGACATCTAGGGTCTAGACTCCAGACTGTAAAATGAATTTGTTATGTTAGTTATGTTATATGTTATGTTAGTTAAGTTATGTTATGTTATGTTACATAAGTTATGTTATGTAAGTTATGTTATGTTATGTTAGTTTATGTTATGCTATGTTAAGTTAAGTTATGTTATATGTTATGTTACATATGTTACGTTAAGTTATGTTATGTTACCATCAATTGTCTGTTGTCCATTGGCCCATTGGCCCAAAAGTTTTGGGGCTGCACACAACACTGGATGGTCCTCACAAAAGCGGAGAGCTGGTTGGGCGTGTTTCCACCTGTAAGTTAAAGGCACTGCGTACCCCAGAGCAAATAGGAAGTAGAAGTACTTGCACAACATAATGAAGCAGTGGTTGGAACGATCAGCTTGCGTGAGTCCCTGGCAACAGTTGACTCCGACACACCAGTGGGTGATCTTTGCTGAACTGGGATCTCCATTGTCAAATCTGGCCAGTTGTTTGTGAAAACCAACCCGCATTTTCCTGTACTCTGTCTCACCGGCTGCAAGGTTCAACAATCGGTCACGTTCAGATTTCCACTCACGGTGCTGGGCAGGCAAATGGCTGACAGTAATGTGAGAGAAACTTTCGGCTATCACTGCAAACAGGGCCGACCGAAATTGAACTCGAAACGTTTGGGTGGAGAAGAGGTGACTGAGTCGAACAATGTTCGACCAAAAGCCGCTGTGGTAGAAGAGGAGAGACTTTCTAGCCAAAGCTAATTGGTGAATGCCGCAAACGAGCCCTGTTAAAAGCTGGGCCTGGTCTTCAGGCTTTGGCTCGACAGGCTGCTGGCATTGCTGCTGTGGCCTACTTCTTCTGTAGAACAAACGGCGCAACATCTTGAGAACTTTGATATTTGTGCTCAAAGAGTCAAAGCACATGATGTGGCACACAAAAGGAACCTTGGCCAACAACCCAGACTTCAGACCAAACTTGTGCCAGCGTGAACCAGGCTCAAACATCAGCCAACTTCGCAACTCCTGCAAAAGATTTGGGGCGTTGGCCCGGGGCAAACATGTCGGCGGCGTATGCATCGGAAAGGACCTGTGCTCCATGTGCTTGTGACCGTCGGTGTCAGCAACTTCGAAACAAGCAACACACGTTTGAACATTGTTCAGCATGGTCACAGTGCGAGAAGACTGCCAGCTTGCAGTAACTCGAGTGGAAAGGCTGGTGTTGGTATCATCAATCACTGACACTGAGAAAACATGTTGACAAGGGTTCTGCTCAAAGAAGGTGTTGATGAAGCTGCATGCACTCTTAAACCAACTGTAGATCAAGCGTTTGCGTTTCTTGGTGTTCTCGTGCAGCCATTGCCCAGGTTTGGTCAACTTTGTCCCTTGGTCGCTCCACTTCAAAAACGGCAAGTATTCTGAGTTTTTTCCTGTGGGAGGAAGATGGCCAAGTTTTTTGGCAACCCTCTTCACCAGGCGGCTCTCTGCCGCAGCTTTCCGAGCCTTCAAAGTTCGAGCTTGTCTTCGCTGTCGTGCTTGGACTTCCGTTTCTGACTCAGACTCATCTTCATCGTCTAAGTCATCTTCATCCTCCTCCTCTCCAACTTGAGACCCCGACTCTGCCTCGGAGCCGGGCTGATCAGAATCAGACTCTGACTCAGCGGACTCCGGAGCATTTGACCCTGAACCGTCTGAATCAGAATCCTGAGATCCACTTGCCTCAAACCTGCCAGAAGTTGGCTCAGGATGGCTACGGCCTGGCGCATTTCTACTTGGCAGATCTTGGAGGGGCATGCAATCAGAATCCGCCTCAGATACATCATCATTATCATGGTCATCATAGCCACTACGGTCCTGGTCCGCAATTGGCTGTGGCATCTCTGCATTGTTTGGGCGGCACAGGCGCTGCCATAAGCTTGACAAAGACATGGGTTTCTGAGGCAAATCATGAGTCATCACCTCTGCTTCTGCTGCTTAACTACTGCAACTTCAACTTTCAGTTCTGGTCTTAGGCCTTGGCTCAAAAACAATGTGAATGTTATCTGAATGTTTGGAATTCTTATTCTAATACTCTATTGATCAACCAGTAGCAATGATATCGCATGTGTCACGACCTGTAGCTGTGATGTGACATTGACATAGAATATAAGTTATCTGGCTCCAGTCATGTGAGCCTGCCACCTGCGAAAGTTCTGATGTGCGAATGGGAAGCATGTGTTGTGCACTGAATCCAACTTGCTAATTTCAACAAAAGCCATCACCCAAGATGCCTATGCATTATTCACTATGAGTCAGAGCAGTCTCTACTAATTGACCCAAAACCATGTTGCCACCGTGACCTTCCAATGAAAGCAGGCGCTGGCCTTGTAATCTTTGAACTCCCCTTCCAGCGGAGGCTTGAAAGGCTGGAGTAGCGAAGCAACCTGCAATCTCTCTAGGACACTGAAGGCCATGAAAAATCCTTCACAATAAACATGGTCGAGTCAGTCAGTACTATGAGAATTGATGGTAAGAAAAGATTAAGATTCTGTTACTGATTCGGTTTGGCTTGAATCTAATTCAAAAGTTCACATGATTCATGATGAATCATGGGTCATGAGTCCTACATACGACAGAATATGATATTTAGTAATAGTAATTAGTAACTAATAACTTATTTACTGAATCTTTGGTTTGATGCGATCAAAGATTGGAAATTCATCCGCACTAATATAATATAATAATATTAATATTGGCAATATGAGTCACAGTCAGAGTAATAATCAAATCAAATCTCTTCTATGCTTGTCAGCTTATCTTGTCTTATGATTCAATGATTATGATGATCTTATATAATCTTGGAATTTCGAATCTTACATGAATGTTTTGAACTTATAACTTATGATTTATGATTCTTATGATTTATGATTCTGCATGATTCAGAGATTCATGAATGATTCTGAATCCGGTTGTCCGCCAGAATTTGATGCCAATGCAGCATGCACATCTGGAAAGAAACAGGCAGTGTTCAGCATGCCAGGGCCCAGATTCAATCTAAAAAGATCTGATAAGAAAAGACAAATTGAGTTAACCTACCGAGGCCAATGTCGCTGTAGCTGCTTTGGTCGCTGTCATTGTTGTTGATCGTGAATTCTGAATTCTGAAATTTGTCTCGTCAAATTACGGTCAAATCGGTCAAATGGTGCACTGGCGCCGAATTTTGTCTTGCTGGTCGGCCCTTGACATGAAACCGTATCAGCTCTTAACCGTGGCAATGATTAGGTGAAGCGAAGAGACATTTTTCTGAATCAGAATGATTCTAAATCAACCAATGACATTTGATGTCAAGGGTCAATGTCAATGACTAGCAACTGTGGGACTGGTGTACCTTGTTTTATCTCAGCCGAGGGGCCTCTTCGATGCACACCGCCTTCGGGTTCCGGAACCGAATCTTCCGCAGCGAAGACTTGACAACCCGTGATGTTGGCCTGGGCGTGCTAGGAAACCAAAACGTTGAGTTGAACTCCACCTTATTATAACTACTTGAAGTAAAAGGGTTTTTCTACCTGTCTGCTTTTCCCTGTTTCAGACTCGCTTCCGCTTGTCCTTACGACAACACCAAATGGAATCATGAATGGTGAACCCCATAATCATAATTGAATCATACTACTGAATCATACATATGTTACATACATACTCCTACTCCTACTCCTAACTATAATCAGATCTGATCTGAGTCATAGTCATAGTCATAGTCCAGTCCAGTCTAGTCAGTCTAGTCTAGTCTAGTAGTAGTCATAGACATGGACATAGACTAAGAGTCATAGAGTCACAGGCTCAGACTATGTCATAGTCATAGTCATAGACTCATAGACTAGACGCTTTATCGCCGAGAGACTTGAAGTTCAGAACCAACACTGAAGATCAGATCTTATGACTCAAGACTCACAGACGCATATTATATAACATCAGAAATCAAAACTATCTACATATGCAGCATCTGACCGGGTCCATATCAATATCCATATCGGACTAACTGCAAGAAGTATTCAAGTTTGATTCTGCCCAAGATCTTGCAAACAAGACACTGTTCAAACGGGTTGAACTGGACATCACGCCGCACATGCATGTTCAGATTCGAAAACAATGGGCACGGAATGCCGATAATCATCAGGTCCTCAGAGCGAGGGCGCCGGGCCCAAAGCCAAAGGTGAGTGTCTGTCATGGCTTTGAAAGAACTTTGAAAGTAGTTCCCAGCCTAAAGCCTAGCCAATCTGCCACACTGTATGCCAAACTGAAGGCGAGCGGCGTGTTCGACTGGGGAACGCCGCTTCGCCACGGCATGTGCCTCCCCGCACACGTAACAGTGCCCTCCTGCATGGTCGTCGTCAATGTCGTTGTAGTAGTGGGACCCTGGGCGTTGATATTGCCAGAATTGAACATCAAAAATCAAGTCGTCTGTATGTGTATGTATGAGTCTATGAGTCTATGAGTCATATTTATCAATCTCTCATTGTCTCATTCTCATTATTTATGACCATGGCCATGGCCATGACCATATCATACCAGAATCACAGAATCAGACTCTCAGAAAAGAAGAACCATCGAATCAAATCGAATCAATCATATCATAGAATCATAGAACATAGATATCATAGAATCATATAATATCAGAAATCAGAATCATCGAATTATCGAATTGAATCACATTGTGATGATGATGATGATGGTGATGATGATGATGATGATGATGAAGATGAAGGATGATGATGATGATGATGATGGATGATGATGATGATGATGATGATGATGATGATGATTCATGATTCATGATTCATGATTCATGATTATCAAATTATCAAATTATCAAATTATCAAATTATTTAATCAATGATCAAATTATCAAATTATCAAATGATCGAAACGGTTTACCTGATATCACTGGATATCACTGATACCCTGAAACATGGAAACCCTTGGATGTTTTTTACACCGTTTGTGGGTTCTCCAACATTGCCTGAGACTGCCGCGGAAGGCTGAACAGCCACATGAGTCCGCCAACGTCATGACTGCAAGTCTCAAACGACTGATGTGCGTGGGACGAGACCCTAACTACCACTAGGCTAGCCCTCTCCCCCAACCAGCAACCAGTAAAAGCCGAAGAACAATCTTGGTGTCTCAAACAAAAAGCACGCGCTTCAGCATCACACTCGCTGGTGAAGCTGAGTTCTGCAGGAATGTCCATCATCTTCTGCATGTAGTTCCTTGCTGCGTCTGTGGGTAGAAAGGGCTGTGGAATCAGATAGTTGTGGACTTGGCATCGGCTGGGTAAATTCAAAGCGACGGTGTTTTGGTCCGATGTTGACAATGACAATGACCATGATCATTGCGAAGCGTGTAAACTTCAAGCTTCAAATAGTGTACCTCACCGTAGGTTGTCTATACTATACTCTTAGGTCTTTGTCAATGAATGCTGAATGCTGAATGCATAATAATTTCGACTCCACCGATTCCATCATCATCCAATCATGTCACCATGTCTATTTTGGAGTTAATTTTGGGCTGGACAGTCTGCTGGATTCAGAAAGTGAAACTGATTAATGAAATGATTCAGGATTCAAACGATGGGTCATGAGTCATGCTTTGATTTAAGGATCAGGCCAGGCCATGCCAGGCATGAAATTGCCTCAGAGTGTCGCGATGTAGGCGCTCGTTCCGGCTCCTTCACATCCACCGAAGACCCGCAGCCTGCATGGCTACGGTTCAGGCCCTAAATCGTTGGAATACTGGAAGACCGGCCATTGGTGAACTTCTGCTGCTCCATTAAATTGAGGCATGCGGTCTGCGGTATATGGGCCCACAGTGGTCACATCCGCTACCAGGACTTGATTTGATCAAATAATTATTATGTGATAATGATTCAGTAATTCAGTGATTCATGATTCTGATTCATATGATTCATCATGATTCATGATTCATGATATGATATGATATAATAATGATATATTTCATGATTATGATTCATGATGTTGTTGTGATTTGGCGGTGATTCGATATGACTGTCTGTGGCTTCGAAATTTGGCTAGCATTCTTTCCCTCTGCTTTGGATTACTGGGCACCAGAGTCCTGAACAAGGCCCGAAGACTCTTTCAGTTTTTATGGTGTTAGAGTTAGAGTAAGTTAGAGTCAGCCTTTTTTCATACAAATTTGTATGTCATCCCAGTCACCCCTCAAGTAATTTATTTTATGGTGACTTGACTCATGACTGTCCCAGCTGTCAGGGTAATTAAGAAAAACCAAGTGCAGAGCCATGCAGCCAAGCAACGTTTGCCTTGCATCATCCAGCATTGCAGGGTTGTATCCAGCAAGGGTAAGATACCTGTGGCAGTGGTGATCTAGTGGTTAGTAGGTTTCGGTTTCAGGATGAAGTTCTGGTCCCTGGATACTGATGCTCGATTTACTGGTTTCATCGGCGTCGAAATGTGCCATGCTCATGCAACCAAACTGGTTTGAAGAAACAATCAACAGAGTATACAGTATTCTGTATTCAGTACAGCATTGATCCACATGGTATATGACTCATATGATTCACATTGACTCAAATTACTCTGACTCATAACAAACTGTAGACTTATAAATAAACTTATAGTTATAGTCTATAGTAACTTATAGATTATAGACATTGACATAGATTTATAAATCATTGATTCAGAAATAACAAGTCGAACAGCATCCGAATCCCAATCCTGAATCCAAATCTTTAAAAACTGCAGAACCAAAAACAATTTGTTTGGACCATGGTCATGGCCCATTGCCAGAGACAGGTACATCCAAGGGGCCGCTGAAACCAGGCAGCTGGGAACACGCTCAAAGGTTCCAGATCTTGAGCATCGCCTCAAATGAGAACAAAGCGGGGCACCAGTGCTTCCATCCATCAGGGTTGATTTGGAATTCAAATCAACATCATGATTTGCCATGCATGCAAGTCCACAACTACCATTCTGACCATCAGAACCTCCGGCAGCCCAACATAAATCTAGCCGTGGCACCTTGTGATTGTTTCCTTCTTTTCAACCGTGGCCCCAAATCGCCATCCATTTTGAGTTGGAGAAGCCGCGCCGTGCTGGTTTTCTGAACAACAAGCCTTACAGTACTGTAGCAACTCTGACAGTTGACAATCACTCAGATATTGTTCAGCTAGGGACCGGGGTCTCTGTCACATGTGGCCCCCACTTCCCAACATTGCTGGAATGTGCTGTCAGTTTGAGCCATCAATCATTTCATTACCCTTCCCAGCATCATTGCAACACCCGTGTTATGTTATAAACTATGTCACATGTCACCGGCTTTGTCCCCAACTTATGTTAAGCAAGTCATTTACCAGATTTGTTGCATGAGTTGTTCCCAACAAGATTTTTACATGATTATTTACCAGATTTGCTCCCAACAACAATTATTTACATGATTATTTACCAGATTTATTCCCAACAACATTTTTTTACATGATTATTTCCCACATTTGTTCCCATAAAAACTTTTTACGGGGTTTGCGACGGTGGTTTTGACATAGTTCTCAACCATAATTCCTGGCTCCACAGAAACTGGCCATTATAGAGGCCAGTGGGGGAAATAAGGCATCACAGAAAAAATGGGCTGTTTTGCAAAACCTTTCAGTCCTGGTCCGTCCAAAAAAGCTATGGAGTTGAGGCAGTGCAAGCTTCACCCGGAAGTCGTACAAGAGCGACCCGTGCCTGCCACAGCTTGTCCACGAAGGCTACATTAGAAGCTTCTGCGGCCTGCATCATGGGGAAGTATATGAAAGTATCAGGGCGACAAAGACGCAGGCAGTGGAATTAAAAGAAATGGTCAAATGAAAAGCACACTGGAATAGACTGCGGTCATCAGAACGGGCTCGCTTCTCAAGTTCAGTTTGTTGTTTTACAGGGTGCAATGAGCTTTTGAATTCTTTAACAGCCAAGCCCCAGAACACCCGGCAAACAGAAACTCTCCTATGCCTGCGTTCCAGATTGTTTGCATATGGCATAGCTACTGATATGCTACTGATTTTGTAGGACTTACAGGGCTAAGAGACCCTTGCGAAGGCAGCATGTCAGTATGTGCTCGCCAAGTTCAGGCTGAATTCCTCGCCTTTTCAGCAGAACCTTAGTGTCACTCCACAGGACAGAGTTCAGAGCTTTGCCAACTCAGCTGCAATTCGAAAAAAATGGGATGTCGTTGATGTCGTCGCGCTTCCTGAAGATTCTAAGAGATAGACCTCGTGCTGTTGCTGGTGGAAGGGCTGCCAAGAGGTAAGAGAGTATCTCAGCTCAAGTACGGCTGAGGCGCTACAAAATGAGTAGTGACTCGTGCTTTCGCTGAACTTTGCAGAAATGAATATGTCTCGTGGAGTTTGGCTGTCCACGTTCCATCCACGTTCCATCCTTGAACTTTCCATGCCACCATCAGGGAATCTCACCAGCAACGGAATATCATCCATTTGCAAGCGATGTTCTCATTGATGGCTCCCCATCAAACATGGTGCTTTACAGCTGGGACAGTTACCGGCGAAGTGTCCATTGCCAGGTTCCCATGACATGCCCGTTGCATCCCGTTGCCAAGCGACAACGATGGCATTGGCCAGGATGGTCTCCGCCGTGGCATCAAAGTCCTTCTTGGCGAGCTGAGTCTCCATGGACTCAACGCACAAAACCACCAGAGCATAGCAATTTTCGGGACCTCAGTCCAGCTCCAGTCAGGCCAGTTAATTACAAGAAATTAAGTCCCAGATGTCCCAAAATGTCCCAAATACACCTCAAATCTTGGGTTCAAACATCTCGACAGGCAAGAAACCAGCGCTTCTCTCCTGAGACAGTCAGGCTGCCAGGCTCCAGAGTCGAAGTCGCAGAGTTCGCAAACGGCAAACCGCGGGCCTGGGCTGTTCCTCCAATTCCTCCTGGTAGATTCGCGGCCGGGTAAGTTATGGCAGTTATGGTAAGTTGGGTGATTGATTTTGCTTCGCAGGTCTTATGCTCTTCAAATATCTTCAAATGCTCCAAGGACTCTAAAGGAAGGCTCATTCTGAACTTGCACTTCTACAAACACAGCAAGTGGCCAAGTCTGCAAGTCTTCGGGTGTCGGATTTCGACCCGTGCACCCCCACAAAATCAATCAAAATCAGCTCTACTGCTCTTTGCACCTCAAGATTCTCAAGGTTCACCAATTTCTCCCATAGCTCACCCGTAACTCCTGTGCCTCGTGCATTCATGGTCATGCATAAGCTTCCAAAAAGAAAACAAAGCCTTGTGAATTCAAACTGTGAAAGGTATTGAAAGGTCACAATCCATCAATGTGGATTGCATGTTTACATTGGATGCAACTCAAAACTGGAATGAGTGAGCTTTTGACTAGCAAGGTTTCCTTTGCTTCACAAGGCTCGCCATTCTCAAACAAAAAATGAGCGTCGACTAGGCTCGCAACCCAGCAGTTGAGAGGCCAACTCCTATGCTGAAAAGCAAACGTCTATAGCACAGTGAGCATATTGAAGCTTCAAACAGAAAACCTTCAAAAACGAGTGCTCACTATTTCACGATGCTCTTGATGCCATACTCTACACTTGGACTGAGACTCCAAGAATCCAACTCGCTTCAACGAGTTTCTTTAACTAAGGATTGTCCTGCACAACATCACCTGGCGTTCCTTTGCCGCCAATGAAGCCGAAGAGTCGCCTCTTCAAATTTGCTCCGGAATTACAGCAAGCAAACACCAGCAATGGAAGGAACGATGGCTGTCTCCAGACAGCTTCCATTTCCACAGCACATCGTTCACAGTACTTGCCATACTTCGAGAGTCCCGCCTCATACCATCAAGCCATGCCACAGCAAGGTTTGAAAAGCAATAAAATTGGTCAATCGAATGGTCAAAGCACGCAGTGCTGCAACGTGGGACGCCAATCTCGGAACGTCAGAAGCTTGGCGAAAACTGAAGATGGGCCCGAATCGCAACAAATGGCTTTGTTCAAAAGGCATCTTGGCAAATATCCTTATTTCTCTGAGTAGACTCTAAGTAGACCTGACGTGTCGCGTTTTTGAGAGTTCCTTCACAGGAGTCTGAGCCACATAGCGAGATGTGCAACTTTGTGACCATCCAGGGAGCCAATTAAAACCAGGAGGATAAGCAGCAGAAAAATCCAGCCAGGAAATGGACCTCAAGCTCCTCCTTCTCCGTTTCTTGTTCATATTCTTTTACTACCGGACTACCGAATACACTAGTACTTCAACTACGTTACCCAAATTTCAAATAACCCCAACTCGAACTGCCTCTCTCTTGTTGCGAAGCTTATGAAATTTTTGGTAGGCACTTGCAATCTTTGATCATGATTTCTGGCTCAGTCATAGGAAGTACAGTAGCTTTTTGATGCCTGCATCCACCGAAAGGGTAAACACTTCAAACGGCACTAGCGTTTCCACTTAGGATGGAGGCAGCTGCTGTGGTTGCTGCAACGACCACCTGCACAAGATGTTCCATCTGGAATTATCCAAGAAACTTTGCAAGGCAAACTGTAGTGACAGACTATTCAAAATCTGCAGAGTGATACAATTTCTTCAGACTCTTGTGTGGAGGGGGTTTGAAGCAAGGTTTAAAAGACCGAGAAGACGCAGAAAGCTGTTCAATCATAGCATCAATATGCATCAATATGCATCAATAAGGAGTCATGGTCCTAGCGATTGTCATGACCGATGCCATCTGCCTCCTGTGTTGCTGCTGTCTTCGGCCAAGATGGCATTAGAAACCAACCTGGCGGCATGGAGCCATTATATTCAGCCAGAAACAGCTATGCAGCAGTGGCCCAGCAGTGGCTTGAAAGCTTTTTTCAATCCATCGTGGTGAGCGATAGTAAACCTGCCAGCTGGGCATACGCAAGCCTGGAGCAGCGGAAGCACCTCACAGACAGCACTCTCCACTGAAGTCTGCTTCCTCTGAAGGCAACATGATCAACTCACGACACGTGCCTTGATGCAGATTTGGTGCATGTCTGAGACACACTCTTGTCCGTGAGCAGGTTGCCTGGCACCGCTGGTCAAATTCTGGATTCACATGGGGTTGGCATGGCAACACATTGAAGTCAGCTCTGTCAATTATCGCCGAGAACAGTCCAAAGCACTGCTCTTGCTTTCTGGGGCCACGACATTCGAGCAAGGTTCCGCAGTGCCTGCCAAATTAAAATTGTGGTGCAGCTCAAAGCAAGTAAAGCAAGTCGGGACGCAAGTCCGGACACCCCTTCAGTCCTGCCAAAGAGCAACACCACAGCTGACAGCCAGGCCCAAAGTCAGCACGCTGTAGATGAAACCTCCAATTGATCAAGGCAGACCCTGGAACACTCTCCAAACATAGCAGTAATTGACATATACTGACAGGACCTTTTCCATGATTCACATCATGCAATGTGCCTGGAACACTCTCCAGACATCTCCAGCCTGATGGCTTTGCACCGTGTCCCCACAGCAAGCCGAGGCCAAGATGTAGCGACAAGTAGAGGAACTTGTACCTCCGCAGCGAGAACCCGCCAACCGTTGGTTTTTCAGCTTTGGGAAAGCTCGCCGGCACCCCAACAGGGCAAAAAGATCCAATGTTGATGTGTTCACCTGGCACAAGATTTCCGTTGAAAAATACTACAGTATGTTCCAAGATGTTCCAAGTACAATAAACAGGTTCCAAGATGTTCCAACGGCTTACCCGCAGAATACAATCGTGTCGTGGCGACAGCACCGGACATAAAAAGAGCTCCTTTCATCACTGCCAGCTCCAAAATCAAGATCACCTCAGGCAAGTGCGATGTTTGCTGTCTGCTTGGGAGACTACATCCGCCTTCCAGCCTATCTAATTGCATCCCTATAAGTTAGTTGATTGATGCAGCGTCAGCGAGTTCATGTTCGCAAGGTCGGGACCAATGTCGAGCTGATCGTCGCAGATAAGACCTCCGGAGAGAAATCCTCCTGGACTCCACGCACCATGCCGTAGAGAACAACCTGCATCCATAGACCGTTGAGTGTATGGGTGGACATCTTGACCCGATTGCGCATTGGCTACGATAGATGAAGCAAGGTCGGCAAAAGAGCTTATCACTTTAGCGACAGCTGAACTTTGGCTTTCCTTGTGAGGGGGAGTTCATTGTCAAACACATTCAAACACACTGCTTGTGACATTGATCAGGGAAATCTTCCAGGATGGGTAGCATCACATCTGTTGCGCTCACAGAAAACATGTCAACAGCATATCTGCATATCGTAGGAAACCGACAGGACATGTCAGGAGCATCCTGCAGATATAGAAATTAAACGTGCTCTTGGCCATGTCTTATCATGGTGTTCCAGTTGTTGCCAAACACACCGTGTCAGCCAAGGCACATAGGTCACAAAACCCATTGTAGGTATGTATAAATCAGGCTCCTTTCAAATCACAAGTGCCAACCCTTTGATTTGATCACTGTTCTCTTCTGTTCTCTCAGGGTTTCTTTCCTTCATTTTCATTCTATGTATCTGGGCTCCTTGATGTCAACTTCCAGGCCCTCAAAGACTCGCACTGTCCAGTCCTACAGGTTGTCAGCTGTTGTGAGACAAGTTCTTGCGCTGAACTTTCCCCGTGAGTCCGACACATCATCGAGCAGTCTTGGCATTATGAGTCTTGAAGATGCGCCTTTTCTCCCCCCAACTCGCCGTCGGTGGACTTGCTCTTTGCACTGCGGGGCAAATGTGTTCAGCATTCAAAAGATGCATAAAACCAGTTTATGTCAATTGCAGCATGAGAGGTTGACGACCCACTTTTTCGCACGCGCAACCGTTGCCAAGCTTTGGGCATGCAGTTAAACAAACGACACATGCTCGAAGAGCTTTAAGATGGTCATGTTGTCTCCACAACCATCTGATTGTTCGACCCAAACGGACGCACCCGTACAAACGCAGGATGCTTGCAAAAATCCTCAAGTCAACCTGCGAGCAGAGGCTTGCTCAAAGTCTTGCTTATATATATATATATTATATATATATATTGATGAATTTGATGTGTCTTTTCGGCCGACTGGCCGCTATGTTGAACAAACAAATGAACAAGGCTGCTTCAATCAATGCGCCTACACTGCTGCTCTCTTTGTGAGTCTCGTCCAGTCCTCCGTGTGGAAAACAAATCAAACGTCTCAAGTCCCTGAAACAAGTCCTCAAAACATCGCTCGTGTCCCATCGAATCTTACCATAGCCATAGACTTAGACTTAATACCTCCTTTGCCCGCATTGAAAATGCACTGTCCTGAGCGGTGGCAACCGCAGCATTTACCTAAGCTCAAATATTGGATAAAGCAAGCCAAGGCAAAGATATATTTCAACAAACAAACTGAAACAAGTGCGAGAAGAAAATCAATTCTGGATAATTCTGGAACAAACGGCGAGTCTACGCTGCAATTCTGGAAAAACTCAAATTTGCGACCAGCTAAGACCAGCACTCACAAGTACGGTTGCCCAGACTCCAAGCAAGGCAACAAGGATTTGGGCCTCGGGCCATAAGCTAGGAGAAAATCATCTCTCTAGGACAGCATCGCCAAGTCGCATAAACACTAAGTTTCTGGCGAAAGAGACCGTTGCAGGAACCTGCCATTCGCACCAGTGACCAAGAATCTCGCATTGCAAAGCGTTTCCAAGGGAGAGAGCCTAAGCAGAACCTTTAACAGTCTGATCTGAGAATGCGCCATTGGCTGCTTGACCCTTCCCTTTCCTTTTATGCCAGCACGTTGCCACGTCCTCCTTTCCTTGCTTCTTCCTCTTCCTGTCTGTGCCTCTTCGTCTTGCTTCTCCTCCTCCTCCACTTCCTCTTTTTCGTCTTATTCTGATGTCATATGTTTTTCAAATATGGATAAACCACTTCCTTCTTCCTCTTGTCGTCCCTCCTCCTCCTTTTTCTTTTTCTCTTCCTTTCCACTCTCTTTCCTTCGCCTTCTCTTTTTTGATGTCCATTCTCTCTTGCGGAAGCAAAATTCACCATGCGTAAAGAGAGTCACACATCCTTCATATAGTCCGAACTTCTGAAGGGTCAAAGGAGTCGCCGTGCAACAGTAAGGATCCACAGGTGACACATTGATGCCGATGGCACCTGATCGCTCTGTCTCAATCGCTGCAAGTGCTGCATCCACTGCCTCATCAGTTTCTCAGTCGTGGAATCATCAAAATCGTCGTCTGAGGACTGAGGACACGGACCCTGCTAAAGCTATCGAAGCGCACAGCCAAAGGAAGGGCCTAGCAACCAAAACAAATCCCGAAATGGTATTGCAACCCGTTGCAACCCGTTGCAACCCGTTGCAATTGCAGCTTTTAGCCATAACCATCACCATGACCTCATCCAATGGTGCTCTCCTGTCCCCGTCTCTTCTGGGCTGCACGCGCAAGTGCTCCACGGGTGCCCGCAACCGCAAAGGAAGCACCCACAGCAAAGAACTGAAGGAAAGCTGTCGACTGGAAACTCTTCAGGTTTCTTTCGTGCAGAATGAAGTCTTCCGACTGAGATCCGTGCCAGAGTTGCTTCATGCAATTCATCTCCAACATAGGGAAATTCTGTGGAGAGCGCCTTGCACAGAGTGACTAATGACATTGTGGAATGAGCAAAAAGCACGCACTGATTGTTTCAATGCAAATTGTAAGGATCCTACTGAAACTCGGCAAAGTCTTTGTACCTGTCACATTTCCGGCATTCCCGGTGCTGAATCACATAGTCTTGCTGCGTCAAATGTCTTTATAGATACCTGCAGAGCGTGCTGCAAATCTTTCATTCTATTTGCCAAAAGACTCCCTTTGAGGTCTAGACATAGTAATCTGCCACAAAATACAGAATTGTACCTGCGAGCAAGCAAAAACAAGAGGCAAAAAAATAGACCAGAAGCATAAAATCCAAAGCGCGACATTCGATTGATACAGCACAAAGGAATAAAAAAATGACATGGGATACACGCTAAGACTTGCATTCGGTCAGCCAATCGAGCCACCTCACTTTCCTCAGCTGATGATTTGATTTTTGACCCAGCATACAGATATATACAGATGCGGGTGCCAAGGTCAGCGCAGCAGAGGTCAGAAACGCATAATCTGCCTTGGCATCCCATATCAGGATGTCAAATATATGATTGTCGGTGAAGTCTTCAGTGAGATGGCAGATCTGTTGCAGATCTGTACCGGCCTCACCGAGATCTTTGGCCATGGTGGCGATGCAAAGAAATCTTGTTATTGGCTATAGGATGCTATTGAACTGCTATTGGCATGTTGCCCTCATGGCAGGTTACCCTCATGGGATGTTGTGAGCAAAGTTGCTCTGAGATAAATCTGATGTGTTCAGGCTGCTCATAGCCGGGTGTTGTCCTTGCTCATGAAACCAGCTGTGAGAGAATGGGGTGGATCAAGAGCATGCCATCCGGATTGGAAGCAGTGAAACAACATACATTTCTCTAGGCAAAATGCGATGAAAGAAAAGCAAGCACCTTTTATCTTCCGCACGGAACATCTGCAATCACAATGAAACGCAAGTCAGTTCCGGCCTGAATGAAAGCAAATAAGCCCTGCAATGCCACACAACAAAGCAAATCAAGGAGAAGATTGCACGGAATCCGAGCAAGACACTTGCGAGCGTGGAACTCCAACCTAGCAGGGTAGCAACAAAGCTGCAACCGCCACGTAAGGTGTCAGCTGTGTTCACTCTTGGTGCCAGTCCATGGATTTAAATGAATTTGGTTTGGGACTCTGACGTAGTAAGGATTTTCGCAGAGATGAGTTGCAACACCAAGCTCCTGAACTCTGGACAGAAAGGTTGGCACTGGTTGGAAACCAAGGGTCAGAGATGATCGGTGGCTTAGACATGCAAATTGTCTGGCGAGCATAGTGGGCAATGACTGAAAGTTCTGGGTTGATATTCAGTGCTTGGCTTGGAGCAATGACATTTGAAAGTCTCCTTGCAAATCCGTTGGACCTTTTCAGCCTAACAGCGCGGTGTTCGTTCATTTTCTTTTCTCTTGAAGACAACACTGTCACAGCACCTGCCTCAAAGAGGTAGAAAGTTGCGAAAATGCAACGGCCGCCAGGTTTGCAACTGGCAGAAAAGAGATCGCTGCAAAGCATAAGATGACAAGAGCACCTTAAAAAATGCGTTGGGAGAGTTAAACACTGCCAGCCTTCGGAGCACCTCAGCATGCAGGCAGAGAAGCATTCATGTCAGTGAAATCACATCAAGTAGGTAAATCCAGATCCATGCAGACGACTGCAGCGGGCCCAGAAAAAGGCTCAAGTAGCCAATGAGTCTCCAGGATAACACCATTTCATAATCCCTTATTTCAAGTTTGATGAAGTTTGTCTGGTCTCAGTCTCAGATCGCCCACTCAGATCTGCTGAATTGCTTCACAGCTAATTCATACTTCTGAAAGCTGATGTGAGTAAATGACTGTTCGTAATATTTCGTAATTATATTTGGGGACTTAAAGCAGCCCTCCAGGGGCACACAAATCTGTATCACTTCACTGGGCCGACTGATGTCAAGCTACGTTTGACAGGATCTTGCACCAAGGAATGTCGCAGGCCACTCCGCTGACCAGCGGATGAATACCTTCGGAGTTCAACGGATCCACTCTGACTCTGATCTAAATCGAATATATGGCAGTGTGTCAAAACCTTGTACCCCTGTAGTGAACATCAAAATAGCTGGGATTGATGGATGTTCATCCCCCTAAAAATGGTATCTATAGGTATTGATCCATACCCATATATTCGAATGAGGCATGCAGGATTGAGATTCAACTGCATCTGCTCCCAGCCTAGGACGAGTCCAAAAGCGGAGGAAGGTAAGTTTTCTTCAGCAAGATCCTGACTATGCACAATGTCAACAAAAACAGCACGCGAAGCGCTGTTAAGCAGCACAGCAATTGTCCACCTGAAGCTGACACTTGAGGCTGCACGCGTCACCCAGAGTGTATGCTGTCCAGTCCTGCCATACTCCAACAATTGTAGAGTCGCAATCCCAACAAAAAAAACCTCCACTTGGGATTTTTTGTACAACCCATTTCTGGTCAAATTGCGGATGATGGATTATGGGGTTTACTACATTGGAGCCTCATCCACAAGTTCAAAACCTGGTGTTGCCGAGGAAACCTCTCGTGTCCTGCCATGCTGGCCACCAGTAGGAGCTTGGCCTGTTGGAGTTGTATCAGATCAGCAATATCAACGCCAAGTGAGAACTTAAGCCATCTGCACCTATCATCGATGTCGCAAGCATGGACATGAAGCTGCCTCAGAGAACATCTCAGAAAAAGATCTTCCATGTCTCTATTTGAATCCGAAACTCTAAACAGTCCTGAAATCCAAAATGCAAATACTCAAACATACTCAAACATACTCAAACATACTCAAACTCTCTGAGATTGACCCAAGAGCCCTGGCGTTTTTTCGGAGATCAAAGTTCTCACTTGGTTCAGCAGAAATGGCAACAGCATTGGGGCCTGGCGACAGAGCGATGAGCACAGCAAAGCATGGGACAGAATGTGTCAGGGTCAGAGATGATTCCATGGACAATTTTGGTTGCAACACTGGTAATCTATCGTAGTAGCACAACAATATAAATCAGTAAAACATAGTAAAACTATGTAATGAAGTGAATCTAATGGGAACTACAGAATCAGGACCCAGCCTCTGAAAGAGCACCACAAAAAGGCAGTGACACCCTGGTTCAACAGGGCGTCTTGCTACATGTTGCTCTACATGTTGCACTGTTGAGTCAAATGGCACTGCGGCTTTGTCATTCCTCTGCGCGAGCCTCACAAGAGGACCAGCCCCTCCACCGAGTAGCTCAGTTGGTAGAGCCTGCGTGCCGTCACCCAATGCTTACGTTTGATGACCCCACACTGACCCTTCATCTTGAACATGTCAAACGAAACAGGATATGGGCCTTCAAAAGGCCCCAGTCTGCTATTGCGCTGAGGAATGCGATGTAGGCCTGAAGCTCCAAGATGCTCAATTTCTGATCCAAGATGCTGTGTCCACTATCTGCCTTTTCACGTCCAGTAGGTCGCGTTGCAGCTTCCTCTAGCAGTTCTGCCACGATGAACAAGATATAAAAATACGAATTCTGATTTTGCACAAAGCCTGTCAATGGACTCTGTGGCAGTGTGAGGTACTGCTGTCCTTCACCCCTTCTACGAAAGATCGAAGAGACTCTTCACCACCTTTCCACCTGCATGTGAGCGCGCGAAACACAGTGATTGTGGTTCAATAGAATGTGAAGCTGCACTTACTTGTGCCTGCGAGGCTCCGACTTTGCAGGCTGATAAGACTGCGTTGCTGAAAAGGTGGCGCCATGTGGAGGGCAGGTCTGTTCAACCTTGAGCCTGGACTGTCCAACAGGAGTCTGCTGTGCAAAATGCACGTGGTGTCTGGTCTGCCAAACGCCCATGGAAGCAGACATTGAAGCAGACATTGAAGCAACCTGCTGAAGATGTTGGCCCATCACAGATGGTGTGCTGCGGTATGCGCAGCCATACCCATTCTCCATCGGAAGCGGCAGGCGTTGGTGTCAGAAGCTCGGTTCCATTCGAGCCGATGCTAGATCTGCGGAATGATGCTGTGAGGCAAGTGTGTTTGATTTGACTCTTCAGTAGATTCAGTCAGTATTTTGCAGCCCTACCCTATGTCCAAATTGTAGACGTGCAGAAGTGGGACGAACCTGTGGAACGGAATTAGTTGCCACAGAATCTTGCGCAGCACGTAGCCATGGTGAACCTGGGAAGTCTGCAAGTGATAGTCAAACTCATGGACAAATGATAGACAAACTGATAGAGAAATTAGAGCACACAAACAATGAAAATACAAAGCTAACTAGAGCAGATGCTGTCAACAAAACAATGTACATTCACAGATCTGACTGCTTCTAACTCTGCTTCTAACTCTGCTGCCCGTCAAACTTGAATCAAACAGGACACACTAAGTGTGGCACATTGAAATATCGTCGAGTCGTTTGTACAAATTGTGGCCATAAGCTCAGGGAATCTGGCAGGTGATGCTCGCACAGCTTCAAGTTTGAGCGAACAATCAGTCACGATGATGTCTGTATCGAACTTAGTTCCAGAATGTATATTATGTAATGTAATTGATCTCTACCAAGCATTGACAAGAGAAAATAGGAGTGGGAACTATCAAGTACAGTGAACAAACTAGTGCTTGTCTAATTGCTATATAGAAGGGTCTATTTTCACACCCTGGAGACACAAATCTGCCAAGACTTGTCTAAAGTCTAGACTGTCTAGACTGCCAATGCATATGACAAGACTGGACAGGCAGACTGGTTGTCAGTTCTCTGGCAAACTGGTTCATCATCGCGCTGGTGACCGCATCTGAGATATTGTTCCCCTGCAAAAAGCATCGCCACTATGCGAGCATTGGTCAAACAGGCATCGCTTCTTCATGCAGTGTTTCAACAAAGTTAGGCAAATCACAAAGCCACCAGCAGCAGTTCACCTGCTTCTCCCAATGGAACTATTCTTTCTGATGGTAAGTCACTGGTAAGTCCATGGTGTGCCTCAATCGACCCGCCAACAGCAGGGCGACCAGCAACTCCCCTGCCGCCAACATCCTGCAAGAGAAGTGTCATCTGGACAAGATATCATCAAATGATGGAAAATTGTCTCTAGACTCCAGTCATTTGATGATGCCACGCTTTGAAATGCCCTTGAAACAATAATAAATACAAAAGTAAAAGGAAGTGGACTCTCTAGTCATTGAATCTCCTCATGATGCTGGTGTGCCACGCTCTCCAACTATTTCCCGGTGATTCAGGGGATATCCACAAAAGCATTCGATGATTTGATGTGACAAACAGCAACCTTTGAAGCTGCGTTGCCTCCGTTGACATTTGAAATGGCCTTGCCTCCCAACCGAGATCTTTGTCAGTCCCATCCATCGCTGGCCAGAAATTGTGAATTCGACGTTACAAATGTGGGCTGCTCCATTCAATGCAGTGTTGACTTGATTTGGTGTCATTTTGGTGTGACCGGAACTGTTTTTCCTGAAAATATTGAAACGAAAGACATGTGTGGAAAAATCCACTGATCCTGACAAGACTAGCCACATGCATTTCAAAGGCTCGGTAATTCTTGACACGAGATGCTGAGGAAGAGGCATGCACATCACAGCAGCTGTATGTTCCCGGTTTGTCCACAGTATCCCTTCTGGCAGCACCAAGGTTCGCTTGGTCGGGAACGGCATGTGACCCAGATGTTTTCATGTTTTTCCTCAATTTCTCCAGATCGGAGCAGGGCTTCAGCATGCTTCAGCCATCAATACATGAAATCTGCAGATCGAGGCCCCAGCCTCCATGGTAATCTGTCCGCCTGGCACAAACATTTCCTCCGCTGGTGGTGATCTCGAAACTGTCGCCATAGGGATCGTTGTTGCGGCGGTAACCGGAGTTCCCCGCATAGGAGGCACAGATGATGTTTGAAGAGCCACCCCAAACACAGCGGGTGTTGGAACCGCTGCTGCCGATATGCACATCTCTCTTGATTCTGACATTGTCTTGGATGCTGTTGCAATTGAACCAAAGGTTCAAGCCCCAGCCTCCATGGTAATCTGTCCTCCGTGCACAGACATAGCCCCATGGATTGTCGACACTGACATAGAAACTATCACCACAATGTCTGCAGTCATCGTTGGTGCGGTATGCTGAATCAGCTGTGTGCGCGTCACACCTCATCTCGTGGGTAACCAACAGGCACTTCATATTGGCACCGCTGCTGCCCATGTGAATGTTACGAACTTGGAAACCGAAGGATCCACCCGTTGGATCACATTCCAACTGAAGATTCAGCCCCCAACCACCACCATGATCCGTCCGTCTGGCACACCATCTGTGCCCATCCTCAGGGCATGCATTAAATTCAAGATGTGGACAGCGCGTCCAAAACTTCACATTTCACATATCTGATCACGTCTTATGTTATATATGTAATATATTGTAATATTATACTGGGCATATTTCGCAAATGTGTACACGTAGTGTGTACTGTGCATATTCCTCCAATACGTATATGTAGTGTATACCAGCACCAGTATATGATACAAAGAATAGATGTTGGATGATGGTGCTCTGGATCCTGTGGATGTTGGTTTTTACTACCACAAACTTCTCTCGAAACCTGCTATATTATATTCTAAGACCCTTTTTCGGGTTTTTGAACATGCCATGACCCACCAAGAGCCTGGTAGACGGAGTAGGAATCCGAATAAGTGTCAAAGCCTAAACGGACGCCTTGATTGCCTCCATCTGCCCGACATTGTACCGGCTCATCTGGCATTGCACACTTGGTATTGACTGAGCTGGAACCGATTGGGACGATGACCTTCAAATTGTTGTTGTCCACAGGACAAGCAATCTCCAGGTTCATACCCCAGCCACCATTGTAGTCGTCACGCCTGATGCACAGGGACCTAGGATTGTTGGGGTCAGCACGCCAAATGTTGAAATCATCTCCGCAATTCCGGCAGTCCTCATTGGCGCGATTGTCTTGGTCCCCTGCATAAGGCTCACAATTCACACCAGAAAAGGCGCGGCCGCAGATTTGACGCCATGGTGATGGGCCAATGTACTCAATAGTGACTCCAGCTTTGTTCTTGGCAATCTCGCGACTGTTGTCGTCTTCGGCGAAGTCAAATCCAAGCACCTGCTGACCCGAAATCACACCACTGAGAGTTGTTGACACGTGGAGTTATTGAAAACTTTAAAATTCAAGCAAATAAAACTCTCATGCACATTAAAACTGCTTCAAAGACCTTACATATGAGCAACTGCCGTCCAACCATGCACCTTGAACCATTTGCCAATAGTGCCAACAAAGGGGATGCTGACACCAAGCAGAACTTCCACTTTGAAATCAACCCCTGTCACTCCCCTGGCAGCGTAGAATTCCTCCAGGCATCGGAAGTTTTGAGAGGGACCAAAGGTGGAACAATGATTGTCACAGGCTTGTGAGATGTCTCCCAGGTTCAAATTGACAGCAAGGCTTGCCCGGACTCCAATCGGCGGAGGGAGCGGGATTGGAAGGCTCATTGAAAAGTGAAGTTTGCTGATGAAGGGGTGATAGGTGACTTTTCCAAGGCTTTGGCAAAGAGCCCAGCCCATCTTGCTAGAGGCCTCACCCAATATACCCCCGATGCACAGCTTGAGCTCAGCGAAATAGTTGTAGGTGGCCAGGAAATCTGCGGTGCTGCCACATTTTGAAACATCCACTCCAATGTCAAGCTTAAATTGAAATGGATCTCCTGGTTTGATGCCCTTGCAGGGGGTGCAATAGCCCTTCACACAACTCGCGGAAGTGCCCATAAGCTCCTTGATACTCCCAAATACATCAAGGCTGTAGGAGCCGCTGGTGCTGATGCAGTTGTCACCATTGACACAGAAAGAGCAATCAAATGCCGCCGGTGTTCCATCAGCATCTTGGCAAGGTCCCAGACCCACAGGGACCCCAACAGCTGAACCAGTTTGCAGCAACGAGTTCAGCTTGCGACTCGCCTCTTGCATGTCTTGCACCACCTTCGGCTGCAACAGGGCCAAGGGTTCAGCATGATGGGCATCACACCACAGGGATGGCTGTTGCTTCACACACAGGCAGTCCACATAGGCTTGGATTTCCTGGTTTTGACTGATCCAGTGCTCTGGCTGTTCCTTCTGCAACTGAAAGTTGGAATCACAATACTGGTTCTTCGTGAAGCCATGGATCTTGTCATAGTAGAGCCGGTCCAAATAGAAGAGCCGTGCCATCCTGGGTTTGCTCGATCCATGCTGAAGAGCTGCTTTCATCAGCAACGGCTCCACTTCCCTGGTTTCCTCCCTCTGGTGTTTGTGTAGCCTCTTGGCAAAATGGTGGCCCAACTTATTTTTTTCGTCGTGCAGCACCAGGGCACTCTTAGCGTAAAAATCCAAAACTGACAGGTGCTTCTGCATCTGCAGCAATTGCGTTTCAGCCACCAAAGCATTGCACTCTGGTGACTCATCGGCTAGCCTGCCAACGAAGAAGTCCAAATCCAACACATCAGACTGGCATAGTCCTTCCACATAGTCCGCCAGGTCCTTTGCAACCCTGGCTTCTTCCAAGGTCATGTTCCCCGAATGCATGATTGACGCTTCATCTTCCGCGACTCTCTCAGCTTCGGAAGAGTCTCCACACATCTCAGCCATCTTCTCTAATTTCTCAGTGAAATGATCGATGGCTTCTTGAGTCAAATTTGCACTTCCGAGAATCCTCTCCGTCTCAGCCTCAAATTCTTTCTTGACCAATGCTTCTGCAGCGTCCCGGCCGGCAACCATGGCCGCTTCGATCACACCTGTGTCATCTGGCCAGTCAGAGCCCAAAGCTTTGACGGAGATGTTAGCAGCCATCAGTTTTGATAGGATCTCAGCTGTCCTCACCAAGTCCCATAGAGACTGTTCCTTTTGATCTCCAGTGATGTGATTCTGCAAACACGCATCCACCATGGCAATGATTGCACCATTGGAGATATTGGAGATATTGGAGTGGTTGGAGCTAGCGGAGAATTCTGGATCGGTCTTGTTGGATTCGTTTACCAAGCGGCTTGTGACATCACGAGCTGATTGAGTTTGGAGCATAGCTGGGCTTGAAGATTTTGCGCCAGCATCACAAGCATCTTCTGCTGCACAGAAAATACAGAAACAATAAACCAAGTTGATCACAAGGACAGTGGAAAAGCTGCGCCGGCTACGCTGATCACCCACCATGGCCTAGGATCACGAAGCGGTAAGAAGTGTAAAGTGTGGTGCCTACGAAGCCAAAAGCCTGGTAGCTTGGGCATTGCAAGACATCGGAGTCGACTCTTGGTGCATCCTTGCAGGGATAGTGTCAACACATTAGCACAAAACTGCACACAAATGGGGATGGGTCAAAACCCTGGTACCTAGTGAACCCCAAAATAGCTGGTAAATGGATGTTCATCCCACTAAAAATGTATCTATAGGTATTGACCCATACCCAAATCAAATCAACGAGCTTGTAACAAAGGTTTCGCAGGTGATTGAATCCACTGCGCCATCCAAGTCCAAAGCTCAGCAAATATGTTTCATTGCAACAACTGAGTTCACAGTCCCTGTCACGTCTTGGACAGAACACGCCAGGGCTTTGCGAAGATCTGCTGCGGACGGCTTGGCCCAACTGTCTGTACGTCGTTGGCACCAGAGCTTGAAATCTAGGCAAGGCTCATCACGGCTCATATCAACCAAACTCAGGTGGCTTCATAACAGGTTCAGAGTTCCGATTTTGGCTTCGCGTGGCCAACATCTGAGCCCACTGGAAATCAACTGGGACACTAGGAATCAAATGAGCCTTCTCGTGCCTTCTTCACACTGAGGCGAAATCAGCTCAAGAAGTCAGCAGCTCAGTGACTTGAGTCACATCGCCGTTGTGAGCCATCAGAAGGTCGCGAATGACCTGCATGCATTTCAGAATTGCCTTGAAAGCCTTCAGCATCCTGAGGCAAGGTCATGGCAGTTCCAAGAAAACTTCTGCGCCTCTTCAGTGGCGATCTGGAGCTCAAGCAACGTCGCGACTTTCTTCTCAAACCTCGAGAAAAACAGCGACAACACAGATATTACATAGTGAAGCGACGCCGTAGTAGCATGTAGTAGCGATAGCAGCAGGCTTTCGAAGTTATAAGAACACAACTGCACAACAGCGTCTGGCCCCCAAGGTCCTTAAAGCACAATCGCATCCTGAGTCGCGGGCTCGTCGTCAGAGGGCGCTGGAGGGGCAGGCTCTGCTGCTTGGCTTCCAGCGTGGGCGTGATGAGGGTGATGGGCGTGATGGGCGTGGCAGCCCTTCCACATCTGTTTGCCCTTCTTTCCCTTTCCTTTGCCCTTTCCCTTCCACATCGGCCAAGTGGGCCAAGTTGGCCAAGCGGGCCAAGTCTGCCAAGTGGGCCAAGTCGGCTGAGTCTGAAGGTCCTGTGGGCGTGGGGGGAATAGAAAGAGGGTCCTTAGGACTCCTATTCCTTGACAAACCTTTGGTGCCCACGAAACTAGTAGCACTCAACTGCTCGGAATGAAGTGCCCAAACTGAAATTCGTTTTGCTCCTCCAAACAAGGCAGCAAGGCAGATGCGACGCTTTCAAGGAAGCGGGTCTGAACCTCCCACAGGCTACGCAACCAGTTTCAAACAGAGCAAAGCCCAGACATGTTTGTGTTTATGCGTGTCCACCAGTATCGCAATCTACCGCGTCTGAATTTGTGTGTCTGTGCGCCTCGATGTCAAGCGCACTCAGGGTTCGCAGCATCTCAAGTGCGGCTTCACCCAATCGCCTTCAAATCTTCAAAGCAAATCCCCAAGACACTAAATCACAATAGCATGACTTCATAGGCTCCCCATCTCTCCCAAATCTGAATGTCAACAAACAAACTCGGCAAGATCTTTTCGGGCCTCTGACCATTGTCACCACTCAATGCCTCAGGTCAAAACAGAAATGAATGATTGGGTCCTGCTGTGTTACAGTGTCGAGCAGAGCAGGAAACAGCGTACCTCGGCGATCAAGGCGGAGTGCTGTTCCAAGCCAGCAGTGGCTGCAGCCTGTTCCTTGCAACATGCCGTTCTTTTGGAGAAAGCATCGAGGAGAATAGGGACGAAAGGGTATGGTAGTGTGGAACAGTTGAACAAGAATGCGCTAATGCATGACAAAGAGCCAGAACTACCATGTATTTGTCATATATCATATACCTGCAGTGCAACTTCGAACAACTTTGCTGTCCTGAATGATCTGCAGCATCTTTTGGATTGTGGGGTCCAGCCCTTCTGCTCCCATGCGGTTGATCCTAGGAACGAACATGGACAAAGCATGATTGACACAGCATTGCAAGCCGACAGCAGTGACAGTTCCGAATTCCAGAAGCAGCCCCAAACCCACAGATTAAAACCCAACAGTGACTGCTGCTGGGAGCAAAGCTCTGAATGTTTCCATGCCAAGCCAGGGACTTGTCAACTTTTCCTTCCACAAAATGAGTCAGGAAGGGAAGCCAATGCCTGGCAGCTCAGCATGACTGAAACTTCTAGCAGTGTTATCCAATCGATTCATTTTCTGAAGCTGTTAAATGGTGGCAGCTGCACACGACCAAGGAGGCAAACATTGCAGGCATCAGCAATCCAACATCCTCAGCACCGATAGCGAGATTTGTGTCCGACTGTCCGACTCGGTGCTCGCTTCGCACCTATTGGAGTCCTGGCCACGCTTGAAGCTCGACCGAGGCGCTCTCAGAGTACTCAAAGTGGACAACAGTTTCCGCGGGCCGTGACCGCCATGACCGCCATGGCCACCATGAAATCCAGCCCCTGTAACTTCCAGAAAGCACGTAGTGACGACGTAGTGAAAGACTCATCGATGCCATCGGATCCGAAACTTCGTGAAAAACTGAGGGCGACACACCACTCTGCTCCAGTTCCGTTGGGCCAGGTGTCCTAGCCACAGAAGCAGAAACTCTTGTCTGTGCACGTTCTTTGCAGGTGAAAGATGGTTCATGGCATTCCAGAAATGCCAGCGGAAGCGGTCCTCTGCTTCAACGTTCGGACTTGGGACATCGGGCCTTAGCATGGCAAAGAGCACCCAGTTGTGCGAAACATCCCATACACTTCCCGTGAGACACATGGTGTCACTTGAATGGATTCTGTGTCCCTGACTCATTGGTAGGTACGGCAGTAGCTGGCTCTGCTGCCTTTTCCGGCTGACACGTGGTTGTGCCCTCCTGCAATCTAAAGCTAAATCTTGTGCTCTGAGCCATGCCTCGTCCTCAATCTCACATCTTCTCACATTTTCAAACCAGAAACCAATCAGAATTTTGCCTTTGACCCAAGTTTCACAGCTGACACTAGTTTTTAGTCATACGACATTGACAGCAGGCTGGAGACAAAGCACTGGGTGAGTCCTCCACTTCAACTGTCAGATTCGGCACCTCAAGCCTTAGGATCCAAGAGTGGCAATGAATAGCTTTCAAGCAAATCGATGGAATCAGGAATTCGTGAGACCTAATGCTTTTTGTCTCAACTCCAACGTGCTTCAACAGACTGAATCGGAGACTGCTCAGTGGCTGCAGGCGCTGCAGTTGCTGGCTCTTCTTGGCTTTGGGTAGGGGCGTGGAAGCGGCAGCCCTTCCACATGTGCTTGCACTTGCCCTTGCCCTTTTTGCCTTTTCCACCACCCTTGCCTTTTGAACAAAGGCTCAGGTCCTGAAAAAATGTGAACATCAACTGAGAGGAGTTTCCCTCCAAACACTCAAAACGACAAGGAAGAAGCTTCTCCGATGGCATTCTATAGCCACATAGCCACACACGTACAAACACATTGACATACCAACCGCATTTCCACAACTGCAAACAACAAAGGCGCAAAAGCGCAGAAGTGCATGTTGTGCTGCCATGTGCTGCCATGTGCTGCCGTGTGCCATGTGCCATGGCTGCCATGTGCCAAGGTTTCGTGTCCTCCAGGCAGGGCAGCAAGGCAGAGACCAGGCTTTGGCAGAACTGGGTCTTCACCTTGCGATGCGACAAACTGCGTCAGGCAGTCGGCTGGAAGAAATCTCAGATTCTTCGGTGGCGCTTGGAGCCTCGAAGCTAAGTCCATTGAGGGCCAGCAGCAGTTCGAGCAAAGCTTCACCCAGGCGCCTCACAAGAGCAGCACTGCGGAACGGCCCAAACGTACCCACGAAGCCGTGGTCAACTGTGGTCAACTGCGGTCACCCCTGGTTACCACTAGTGACTTCACTGGTGACTGCATTAGTCATCCATTCGGCCTCTCTCCATGGTCGGCACCCAATGCCTGAAGAAGGCCAAGCATACGGCAGCATACGAGCTGATCAAGCTGTCAACCGGCACGCACGGGTGATAGTCCCACCTCAGCAAGTATGGTAGAACTCTGTTCCAAGCCTGGAGTGGTGGCCGCCTGCTCCTGGCGTCCAGGTTTGGACCAAACCCCGGCGGCTGGAAGTGGCTGGAAGTGGCTGGAAGTGGCTGGAAGTGGCTGGAAGTGGCTGGAAGTGGCTGGAAGTGGCTGGAAGTATGAAATCAATCCTAAGAGGATCAAAGATTCAGTACGAGGAACGGGTTGCTGCAGGCAAATCCCACCTACAAAAATGCTGTGTGGTGTGCTCACAGGCCATTTGGTCTCCTGGATGAGGTTCAACACTTTTTCGATTGCAGCATCGAGTCCATCTCTGGCCAGCTGGTTGATCCTAGGCTGGTGGCCGGAGATGCCGCAAGATTCACGCATCTGCCAGACACCGTATAAGCTGCCAAGCTCCAGACTCATCAAGCTTGGCGGCTGCACCATTGATCAGGAACGGAAGCCAATGCCTGGCAACTGGAGATGCTTCGAGAACCGCATCAGCATGGTTTTGTCGAGCAGCCCTTCGAAAACGAGTCAGCACGGCTCTGCCAGCGTTGCAAACAGAGCCGGAGTCAGGAGACCCACTTCCTGATTGTGCTTGTTTTGCAGTGTACAGAGTCGACTTAGGCGAGAAATCATTACTGCCCAGTGCTATGTGTTTTGAATAGAGCTTGCAAAAAATCCAGGAAAAAAAGTAAGGTGCACCCGGTACATCTGCATAAACACAAGACAAGTCGCTGGAAGTACATTCAAGGTGCACAAGAGTCTCCATGGAGCACCCCTATGGTCACCGACACCTCAAGACACAGAGAAGAACAGGACACTGGACTTGACCCTACATTGAAGGGAATAGAAAGGCAAAGAAACATTCCAAGACCTCTTCAGATAGACGGTGGTGAAAGGAGTTTCTTCATAGCTCGTACTCCTTACTCTGGGGCTCAAACCCCAGACACCTGGACCAAATCCATCTGGGCAGGTGTCCTTCAAGACCAAATGATGCCACACGCATGTGCCTAATTCAGGACCTCTTGAAATTTGCCTCCAGACAGGGCAGCAAAGCGGAAGCTAAGCTTTCGCAGAACTGGGTCTGCACCTGGCAAAGGTCGCAAAATGAAGACAGAAAACAGGCGAAGACGCCACTTCCTTCAGCAGTGCTTCCGGCCTCGACGTCAAGTCCATTCAGGGCTTGCAGCAGTTCAAGCAGGGCTTCACCCAGGTGCCTTCACAGAAACAGGAATCAAACAGAAGACGACAAGTGAAGATCATTTCCAAACAGTGAAAGTTCAAAGTTCAAAAACCACTGGTTCCTAGAGCCCAGTGTGGTGAGCCAGAGACATGGTGGGTCACCCTTCTCTTCCAGCCTCTCGCCAGTGTTGGCACTCAATGCCTCACAAGTAAAGCCATAGACTCCCAAGGGTTCTCAGACCCTCTCAGACCCCTCAGAGTCCGCAGTGATTTGAACTCCCACCTGAGCAAGCGCGGTGGAATGCTGCTCCAGTCCCGGAGTGGCTGCAGCCTGTTCCTTGCGTGACAGAGCTCGTTCGATAGCACTCAACAAACACCCTACATTGGAGCATAAATTGAATGTGTTGAATCCAAGATATCCATGTGGTCAAGGATATGCTGCCTCACACCATCCCGCCAGGGTCCTGGATGATCTTTAGCATCTTTTCCAGTGTTGGGTCAAGACCTTCTGCGGCCATTCGGTTGATCCTAAGCCAACAGGCACTTATGCCAGCGCACACCAGCCCACGCCAGTGCCCGCCGCTGCACGCCAACAAGACAATCCTTTCGTATCTTCATGCAGGTTTTGGTTTAGAGCTCAAACTGAAAAAAATCGGCACCAGACTTATCGACCTTCGCAGCTACGCGCTTGATCAGGAACGGAAGCCAGTGCCTGGCAGCTTCAGCAGTATCATTGACATCATTGCAGAATCAGTGTCGTTCATACTACAAGCAAGGGCTACTTGTTAAAAGCAGGACAGCAAGACACTGCCAAGGAGGCAAAGAGTGTCGGTGTCAGCAGTCCCACTTCCTGATTGGTTTCTCATGCGGCATGGGTATGGTCTGGAAATCCGACATGTGTATACAGTATACAGTATACATGTATATACATGTAATATTCAATCTTTCCACTGCTTGCTGAAGACGAGAATCTCTCAGAACGCGTAGTGTGCACAGCAGTCTCCATGGAGCCCGACGCTGGCCCGCACCTGAGTGCTTGATGTCTGACACCATGGGAATCCCTTTCATGCGTCTGCACTGCAATATAAACGAGGCTGGCTAGGCTCAAGCACGACAGGCTCTCGGACAAGTCGAATTTGCCCCATCCTGCAGGGCTGAAGCCCAAGCTGGTGTGGACGTGGAATTGACATTCTTAGCTTAGTCATGCTTAGTTGCTAGTTCCCGGAATTGTAGGAGACTTCGGAGACTTGTCATTTTGCCAGACATCGATTAACATCTGGTCAACGTGGAACTAAAACTTGAAGGCGAAAGAACTGAAAGAATGTTCTCCGCCTGCGATGAATCAGGCCCTTCGGGCCTCAGGACTGGCAACCGGGCGAGTTGACTTTGCTAGTCTTTGTTATGTATAGACATGTATAGTCAGTCGTTCTTGCAGACTTCCAGTGACTTCCACTGATGTTCTACAGGCTGTTGATATCCCTAGAAGTTGACTGAAGTTCCAGGGTTCCTGACTCCTCAGCTGCAGCGGGCTCAGCTTGGCTCGGATCGGGGAAGTGGCATCCCTTCCACATGTGTTTGCCTTTCTTGCCCTTTCCGCAGCCTTTGCCTTTCCACGTTTTCCACCAACAGTGCGGCTCCTGATCGGCTACAGGACTCGAACTCCGCGCATGTCGAAATGACTTAAAATATAACAGTATCTCTTCAGTTTTTCAGCCAGTGCCATTGCCCTTCCGGTTGCATGTCCGTAAACAAGGCCTCTTTGTTCAAATGGCAAAAAGTCATGCAAATGCGAAGCATTCGTGCTGTCCAAAGAAATTCCAAAGAAAGACATAAAGTTTGAGACATTGCACTTGCTCAGAAACGATAGCTCGTCCTCCAAACAGGGCAGCAAAGCAGAAGCCAAGCTTTCGCAGAACTGGGTCTGCACCTGGCAAAGGTCGCAAAATGAAGACAAAAAACAGGCGAAAACACCACTTCCTTCAGCAGTGCTTCCGGCCTCGACGTCAAGTCCGTTCAGGGCTTGCAGCAGTTCAAGCAGGGCTTCACCCAGGTGCCTTCACAGAAACAGGAATCAAACAGAAGACAAGAAGTGAAGATTCTTTCCAAACAGTGAAAGTTCAAAGTTCAAAAACCACTGGTTCCTAGAGCCCAGTGTGGTGAGCCAGAGACATGGTGGGTCACCCTTCTCTTCCAGCCTCTCGCCAGTGTTGGCACTCAATGCCTCACAAGTAAAGCCATAGACTCCCAAGGGTTCTCAGACCCTCTCAGACCCCTCAGAGTCCGCAGTGATTTGAACTCCCACCTGAGCAAGCGCGGTGGAATGCTGCTCCAGTCCCGGAGTGGCTGCAGCCTGTTCCTTGCGTGACAGAGCTCGTTCGATAGCACTCAACAAACACCCTACATTGGAGCATAAATTGAATGTGTTGAATCCAAGATATCCATGTGGTCAAGGATATGCTGCCTCACACCATCCCGCCAGGGTCCTGGATGATCTTTAGCATCTTTTCCAGTGTTGGGTCAAGACCTTCTGCGGCCATTCGGTTGATCCTAAGCCAACAGGCACTTATGCCAGCGCACACCAGCCCACGCCAGTGCCCGCCGCTGCACGCCAACAAGACAATCCTTTCGTATCTTCATGCAGGTTTTGGTTTAGAGCTCAAACTGAAAAAAATCGGCACCAGACTTATCGACCTTCGCAGCTACGCGCTTGATCAGGAACGGAAGCCAGTGCCTGGCAGCTTCAGCAGTATCATCGACACCATTGCAGAATCAGTGTCGTTCATACTACAAGCAAGGGCTACTTGTTGAAAGCAGGACAGCAAGACACTGCCAAGGAGGCAAAGAGTGTAGGTGTCAGCAGTCCCACTTCCTCGGTTGCGGTGGCTCATGGGTCAAGGATGTTCAAGGATGGTCAAGGTGAACTCCACAACACTCTTGCGCCTAGGTCGTTACAGTCGTTACACTTCGGCAGAATGCTCAAGGCAAGGTGCCGGAAGAGTGTGCAATGTGCACAAGAATCGCCATGGAGCGCCAGGGTTTGCAGCAGCACCTGAGGCACTAGCACAAAACAGGAAATGTGTTCAAATCTGTGGACATAAATAAATCAAATGCATTGCGGACAGCGGATAGGCGAAAAACTCAGCAAAATGCACAGCATATGCACAGCACTCATCAAATCGCGGAAGCAGTCTCAGCTTCGAAAGTAAGAGCACTGCCCCAGACCCGCGGACCGACTCCACTTGGGCAGCTCTCCTTGAACGATCAAATGCCCTGCCAGCCTCTTCTTGACTTATTTCCAGTTTACCTACTTGGGTTTTGCCGGAGATATTTCAGGTTGAGTTGTGAGGCCGGCATGTTCTTGACAGTCCCTGCAACATAAATTGATCAAAGACTCGAAAGAGCGCGGAAAGGCAGCCTTCCACTGCACAATATGAGCCATGCAACATCGTAAAGACAATGGTGCTTACTCTTTGACCTCTTTCGATAGTTGGAGATTCAATGCTGCAAATTCACCCCCCTTCAGGTGACATGCCCATAAGCCACTCTTTGTTCAAATGGCAAAAAGTAACATCTGGCAAATTATAATAATTCACTAACCTGAAATAAAGCCATTTTGGGGTGATTCCCCTTATTAGCCATGATTTCAATGAGGTCGCAATGAGGCCTTTATAATTTGCCCAGATTCATGCTGTCAAAAGAAATTCCAAAGGTTTCAACATAAAGCTTGAGAAATTGGAAACAAGAACTACTCTTTGGGAGGCTTACCTGAATGTACTTGCTCAGAAACGATAGCTCGTCCTCCAAACAGGGCAGCAAAGCAGAAGCCAAGCTTTCGCAGAACTGGGTCTGCACCTGGCAAAGGTCGCAAAATGAAGACAGAAAACAGGCGAAAACACCACTTCCTTCAGCAGTGCTTCCGGCCTCGACGTCAAGTCCATTCAGGGCTTGCAGCAGTTCAAGCATGGCTTCACCCAGGTGCCTTCACAGAAACAGGAATCAAACAGAAGACGACAAGTGAAGATCATTTCCAAACAGTGAAAGTTCAAAGTTCAAAAACCACTGGTTCCTAGAGCCCAGTGTGGTGAGCCAGAGACATGGTGGGTCACCCTTCTCTTCCGGCCTCTTGGCAGTGTTGGCATTCAATGCCTCACAAGTAAAGCCATAGACTCCCAAGGGTTCTCAGACCCTCTCAGACCCCTCAGAGTCCGCAGTGATTTGAACTCCCACCTGAGCAAGCGCGGTGGAATGCTGCTCCAGTCCCGGAGTGGCTGCAGCCTGTTCCTTGCGTGACAGAGCTCGTTCGATAGCACTCAACAAAAACCCTACATTGGAGCATAAATTGAATGTGTTGAATCCAAGATATCCATGTGGTCAAGGATATGCTGCCTCACACCATCCCGCCAGGGTCCTGGATGATCTTCAGCATCTTTTCCAGTGTTGGGTCAAGACCTTCTGCGGCCATTCGGTTGATCCTAAGCCAACAGGCACTTATGCCAGCGCACACCAGCCCACGCCAGTGCCCGCCGGTGCACGCCAACAAGACAATCCTTTCGTATCTTCATGCAGGTTTTGGTTTAGAGCTCAAACTGAAAAAAATCGGCACCAGACTTATCGACCTTCGCAGCTACGCGCTTGATCAGGAACGGAAGCCAGTGCCTGGCAGCTTCAGCAGTATCATCGACATCATTGCAGAATCAGTGTCGTTCATACTACAAGCAAGGGCTACTTGTTGAAAGCAGGACAGCAAGACACTGCCAAGGAGGCAAAGAGTGTCGGTGTCAGCAGTCCCACTTCCTCGGTTGTGGTAACAAGAGACCTTCAAGCTGCCCCAGTTGAAAATCAAATCTCGCTCTGCAAAGAGATGAACATTTGCCTGCCGTTTTGTCATGGCCAAATTGCTACAAGGCACCAGAAGCACACGCAGTGTACACAAGAGTCTCCATGCACCACCGCGATGTCCTGATCTTTTGATTCCGGAATGCAAACGCTACAGAGTTCATCAGACTTCATACCGTTCCAGTCTAGGCCAAAGACCGCAAACTCCCGGGCCAGCTGCATTGCCACAAGTCTCCTGCAGTTGAGAATCTGCCCACACCCGCACTTGTTTCGATTGTCTATGGCAGAAAACAGTTTACGTGGCGGTGTCTGGTTGTGTGGCCACATAAAAAGAGCCTGCTGGCAAAACAGACGCATCAGATCTTTTGTTGAGCCGGTCAAGTCCTGCTTCATCGAGCTGGCAGAGGGCTCCTGACACCTCAAGTGCGGCAAATATCAACCTTCATCCATCGCAACTGATATATTTCTGAGGCCCAGGCTGGTTGTTGGGAGGCGACCCATGGGCACTTTCTTCTGCTTGGCTTTCAGGAATTGCGCTTTGGCTGTGGCCCTTCATGTGTTTGCCTTTCTTGCCCTTTCCTTTGGCCTTTCCTTTGGCCTTTCCTTTCCAAAGCCAAGGGAAGGGGTCCTGCGACATTGCTCTAGCTCAGATAAATCGTCAAACAGCCTCCATCTCTCGACATGGGCGCTGGGACACAATCACATAAGGGGGATGGAAGCATGCTTCATTTGCAGCGTGCTCATCAGGAAGTACGATGAACAAACCGAATGTATGTAGGAATAGTGTGTTGAATCTACTCTATATAAATCTATTATATAGCCTACCTGAGAAGGGGGGAACGAAAGCCAGCATCCCATTTAACCCTAGTTTCCCCCATATTTTTCACCCAGAGACTCTTCACCCAGAAACCCTTCTTGCACGTGCTTTTCACCGATATACTTTTCACCCAGAGACTCGTCACCCAGAAACTCTTCTTGCACATACTTTTAACGGATATACTTTTCACCCAGAGACTCTTCACCCAGAAACTCTTCTTGCACATACTTTTCACCCATAGACTTTTCACCCACAGGCTCTTCACCCAGAAACCCTTCTTGCACATACTTTTCACCCATATACTTTTCACCCAGAGACTCTTCACCCAGAAACTCTTCTTGCACAGACTTTTCACCCAGAAACTCTTCTTACACATACTTTTTACCCATATACTTTTCACCCACAGACTCTTCACCCAGAAACCCTTCTTGCACATACTTTTCACCCAGAAACTCTTCTTGCACAGACTTTTCACCCAGAAACTCTTCTTGCACATACTTTTCACCCATATACTTTTCACCCACAGACTCTTCACCCAGGAACTCTTCTTTCAAATACTCTTCACCCACATACTTTTCACCCATAGACTCTTCACCCAGAAACTCTTCTCGCACATACTTTTTACCCATATACTTTTCATCCAGAGACTCTTCACCCAGAAACTCTTCTTGCACATACGTTTCATCCACATACTTTTCACCCAGAGACTCTTCACCCAGAAACTCTTCTTGCACAGACTTTTCACCCAGAAACTCTTCTTGCACATGCTTTTCACCCATATATTCTTCACCCAGAGACTCTTCACCCAGAAACTCTTCTTGTACATACTTCACCAATAGATTTTTCCCCCATGGACTCTTCACCCAGAAACTCTTCTTGCACATATTTTTCACCAATATACTTTTCACCCAGAGACTCTTCACCCAGAAACTCTTCTTGCACATACTTTTCACCCATATACTTTTCACCCACAGACTCTTCACCCAGAAACCCTTCTTGCATATACTTTCCACCCATATACTTTTCGCCCAGAAACTCTTCTTGCACATACTTTTCACCCATATACTTTTCACCCAGAGACTCTTCACCCAGAGACTCTTCACCCAGAAACTCTTCTTGCATATATTTTTCACCCAGAGACTCTTCACCCAGAAACTCTTCTTGCACATACTTTTCACCAATACACTTTTCACCCAGAAACTCTTCTTGCGCATACTTTTCACCCATGTACTTTTCACCCAGAGACTCTTCACCCAGAAACTCTTCTTGCACATACTTTTCACCCATATACTTTTCACCCAGAGACTCTTCACCCAGAAACTCTTTTTGCACATACTTTTCACCCATATACTTTTCACCCAGAGACTCTTCACCCAGAAACTCTTCTTGCACATACTTTTCAACCATATACTTTTCACCCAGGAACTCTTTACCCAGAAACTTTTCTTGCACATACTTTTCACCAATATACTTTTCACCCAGAGACTCTTCACCCAGAAACTCTTCTTGCACATACTTGTCACCCATACACTTTTCACCCAGAGGCTCTTCACCCAGAAACTCTTCTTGCACATACTTTTTCACCCATATACTTTTCACCCAGAGACTCTTCACCCAGAAACTCTTCTTGCACATACTTTTCACTCATATACTTTTCACCCAGAAACTCTTCACCAAGAAACTCTTCTCGCACATACTTTTCACCCATAAACTTTTCACCCAAAGAATCTTCACCCAGGAACTCTTCTTGCACATACTTTTCACCCAGAGACTCTTCACCCAGAAACTCTTCTTGCACATACTTTTCACCCACCCAGAGACTCTTCACCCAGAAACTCTTCTTGCACAGACTTTTCACCCAGAAACTCTTCTTGCACATGCTTTTCACCCATATATTTTTCACCCAGAGACTCTTCACCCAGAAACTCTTCTTGCACATACTTTTCAACCAGATACTTTTCACCCAGGAACTCTTCACCCAGAAACTCTTCTTGCACATACTTTTCACCAATATACTTTTTACCCAGAAACTCTTCTTGCACGTACTTTTCAGGCAGAGACTCTTCACCCAGAAACTCTTCTTGCAAATACTTTTCATCCACATACTTTTCACCCAGAGACTCTTCACCAAGAAACTCTTCTTGCACATACTTTTCACCCATATACTTTTCACCCAGAAACTCTTCCTGCACAGACTTTTCACCAATATACTTTTCACCCAGAGAATCTTCACCCAGAAACTCTTCTTGCACATACCTTTCAGGCAGAGACTCTTCACCCAGAAACTCTTCTTGCACAGATTTTTCACCCAAATACTCTTCACCCAGAAACTCTTCTTGCACATACTTTTCTCCCATATACTTTTTACCCAGAAACTTTTCACCCAGAAACTCTTCTTGCACATACATTTTACTCATGTACTTTTCACCCAGGGACTCTTCACCCACTCTTCTTGCACATACTTTTCACCCATATACTTTTCACCCAGAGACTCTTCACCCAGAAACTCTTCTTGCACAGACATTTCACCCATATATTTTTCACCCAGAGACTCTTCACCCAGAAACTCTTCTTGCACATACTTTTCACCCATATACTTTTCACACAGAGACTCTTCACCCAGAAACTCTTCTTGCACATACTTTTCAACCATAGACTCTTCACCCAGGAACTCTTCACCCAGAAACTCTTCTTGCACATACTTTTCACCAATATACTTTTCACCCAGAGACTCTTCACCCAGAAACTCTTCTTGCACATACTTTTCATATACCCATATACTTTTCACTTTTCACTCAGAGACTCTTCACCCAGAAACTCTTCTTGCACATACTTTTCACCCATATACTTTTCACCCAGAGACTCTTCACCCAGAAACTCTTCTTGCACATACTTTTCACCCATATACTTTTCACCCAGAGACTCTTCACCCAGAAACTCTTCTTGCACATACTTTTCACCCATATACTTTTCACCCAGAGACTCTTCACCCAGAAACTCTTCTTGCACATACTTTTCACCCACATACTTTTCACCCAGAGACTCTTCACCCAGAAACTCTTCTTGCAAATACTTTTCGCCCATATACTTTTCACCCAGAGACTCTTCACCCAGAAACTCTTCTTGCACATACTCTTCACCCATATACTTTTCACCTAGAGACTCTTCACCCAGAAACTCTTCTTGCACATACTTTTCACCCATATACTTTTCACCTAGAGACTCTTCACCCAGAAACTCTTCTTGCACATACTTTTCACCCATATACTTTTCATCCAGAGACTCTTCACCCAGAAACTCTTCTTGCACATACTTTTCACCCATATACTTTTCACCCAGAGACCCTTCACCCAGAAACTCTTCTTGCACATACTTTTCACCCATATACTTTTCACCCAGGGACTCTTCACCCAGCAACTCTTCTTGCACATACTTTTCACCCATATACTCTTCACCCAGAGACTCTTCACCCAGAAACTCTTCTTGCACATACTTTTCACCCATATACTTTTCACCCAGAGACTCTTCTTGCACATACGTTTCACCCATATACTTTTCACCCAGAGACTCTTCACCCAGAAACTCTTCTTGCACATACTTTTCACCCATATACTTTTCACCCAGAGACTCTTCACCCAGAAACCCTTCTTGCACAGATTTTTCACCCAGAGACTCTTCACCCAGAAACTCTTCTTGCACATACTTTTCACCCATGTACTTTTTACCCAGAGACTCTTCACCCAGAAACTCTTCTTGCACATACTTTTCACTCATATACTTTTTACCCAGAGACTTTTCACCCAGAGACTCTTCTTGCACATACTTTTCGCCCATATACTTTTTACCCAGAACTCTTCACCCAGAAACTCTTCTTGCACATACTTTTCACCCAGAAACTCTTCTTGTACATACTTTTCACCCATATACTTTTCACCCAGAGACTCTTCACCCAGAAACCCTTCTTGCACATACTTTCTTCGCCCAATGTCCTGCTCTCTCCAATCTCCTCAAACTAGCTGGCCCATCTATCTGTCCATTGACTGAGCCCAGAAAACCCAGAAAACCGGACCTAGGGGGAATCGATACCCACCGTCACTGTTTTGCCGCCTGGTACATCACCCTGCAAAACCATACTTTGCGCGACCCTAAAACACCACCTACAAGTATTTACGCCGTTTTCGGCCCCTTGAGACAGCTACCCCCCCCCAGACCCCCTATTCTCACTTCGTTCGCAAAAAGCAACTAGCCTTTATTGTATACTGTATAACTATGTTACCAAAAGAACGTAACAAATTCCACATAATGTTCGACACATAAAGCCCTGCGAATCTTTCAACGTCCTCCTTCTGATCGGGCATTGAAACCGGAGGCCTCAGTAAGAAAGATCATGCACACAAGATGCAAATTGTTTGCTGCAAAGGGGCCAAATGTGTTTTCGTTCATAAACGAGTATGATCTCTTCCGAATTATTCTGCAAATGCTGTCGTTCTGTTCGATGCGCTTGACAAACAGAGGCGGAGAGACCAAAGCCGGGCGGGAATGGAAAACATCTCTGCTGAGTAAATATTGAACGAAGCGAGAGGGAAACAGCGGCATGGCAAAACTTGGGCAAGTTGGCATCAAAAGAGCCAGGCAAAGGAGAGCTGTCCGATTCAATCTGGGCTGCTGGCTGGGCAGTGTCCACAGTAGCTGTGCTTGGGGCCGGAGCTGCAGTCCTCGCAAACGTCAGGCAGCACGGCAGCACGGCAGCACAGCAGCACCATTCTTGTATCTTTCTGGATGAGCTGAAGGATTGTAGGAGGCTGTAGGACGTCTCCTGTCTTCCGACTGCAGATCAAGAGCGGCATCAATTCCATGCTGTGCCGCAGGCTTGGAGGATTTGGGCACTGTCAACTTCAACCTGAGTTGGATGTCTGCAACAACGACTGCTATAAGACCTACTGATCTACAGACATCTTGTTGTCCAAGTCGTCATCCCCTCGTCTGCATAAACTCCGCCAAGTTGCTTCAGCACTTTGCCGTTGATTCGTTTCTGCCTGAGAACGGGCCCTTTGGCTCTTGGGCGTTATGCATGAGCGGTGGACATGTGCAAGTTCTAGTGCCAGTAGTGCCGCACAAGGCGGCGGCGGAAGGTTCAAAAATAGGAAACCTATAGGAGAGGTTGGTTGTTGTGAATCATGGCTGGCAGAGCCAATCCACTGATGGACCGACAGGTGGTTGGAGTTGTGCTTTTGGTTGCAATGGTTGCAGCGGTCACCTCACTCACAACTGCTGGATGTAGTGTGGTGTAGTGCAGTTGTAGTTGTAGTTGCAGTTGTAGCTGTGGTTGTAGTGTAGTGTAGTGGAGCTGTAGCTGTAATGTAGTGTAATTAGTGTATTTGCAAGTGCAGTTGCAGTTGTAGTCGTGGTGTGGTGTAATTAGTGCAGTGTAGTGCAGCGTAATGTCGTGTAGTGTTGTGTAGTGTAGTGTAGCCTAGTGTAAGGTAGTGTGGTTGTAATTGTAGTGTGGTGCAGTGTAATTAGTGTAGTGTACTGGAGCGTAGTGTAGTGTAGTGTAGTTGTAGTTGTAGTGTAATTTAGTGTAATTAGTGTAGTCTAGTGTAGTGTAGTGTAGTATGTGTAGTGTAGGTAGTGTAGTGTAGTGTAGTGTAGTGTAGTGTAGTGTAGTGTAGTGTAGTGTAGTGTAGTGTAGTGTAGTATGGTATGTGTAGTGTAGTGTAGTGTAGTGTAGTGTAGTGTAGTGTAGTGTGGTGTGGTGTGGTGTGGTGTGGTGTGGTGTGGTGTGGTGTGGTGTGGTGTGG